GACGAAATCGCTGTCAAGTACACACGAAATTCTCAGTCTTCGAATAAACGGCGATCGGTTATCGCGAGAGGCAGGCAGCGTCTTATCCCGGATTATTATCGCTCAACTCGTCGAAAACCGATGGGACCCTTGGAGACTGGCGAGTGTCAACTGTGCGTGCAGCGGCCGAAAAACCTTTGATGGACTTCCGGTCCGATTTGTGAGATGAACGTTCCCCACGAAGCGTAGAATATCCTCCTAAGAGAAGGGGTAGCGATTCGGCTTCATTCGGTCACGAAGCCGTTGGAGGAATATTACACTTCTGAGCTGGGCCGTCCGCGACGCCGACCCCATACCCCGGAAAACTGGGCCTGTTGACAATAACGAGCAGATTCTGTCGGTGGCAGTGTCTAGCTTCAGAAGGTAATCTGTGCCGCTCGGGTAGACTGCCTCGAGCTCGTTCTCCACGTATTGGAGGCCACTTCCGTCCGGGAACTCTTCCCTCTGTTCTTTTGAATCCAGCGGAGCATATCGACCGGGCGGCCGCTGTTCCTTTCTCTCTGTCATCTCTTGCTTTTTTTTCCACACGTCAATGCTCATCCCTAGGAATTCCGCCTTGAATTCGGCACCTGGCTGCTTGGATGCGAGGCACGTTCCGAAGGGGTTTTGATGCCGGTTTTGATGCTTGCGCTAGCCTAGAAGTGGAACTGTTCCCATGCAGGATTCAAACGTGGATTTGTTTACTCACGGAGCACCGGGAACTTTCGGGCGAGGTCTTTCCCCCACCTGCTCTTCTGTGACCTTGGTAGAACGGGACAGATTCGATGTTTCGATGGGTTTCCCGAATCTCTCCCCTTCTTCCAACAGAACTCGAAAACGTGCGACATGGGAAGTGTCGGTGCGTCAGACCGGCCATAAACATTTTCGCTTTCTGATTAGGTTTACAAGCCACGGATGCGGTTACGAGCTCGCAGGTCTGCGGCCCTTTCTCGCTGCCTCAGGCCTCACGTCCTCTGTGTCGAATCGATCTTCGAAACGCGAAAGTTTCTCGTCGGGAGAGTCCGTCCGCCCGTCTGGATCGCTTGGGACCGTCGGAATCCCTGGTGTATGTACTTCCGCTCCGGTCGGGGAACACAGCATTTCAATCAGAAAACGCAAAAAGGAGATCATTTCGTCGAAACTGTTTCGTTTTACATACTCGTTTCCCCGAGAAGATGATCTGACGTGCAGTAGGGAGCGATTCCGGAGCTCGGGCTCCGCAGGAACAGAGTCGAGATTTTTTTCCAATAGGGAGAACGTTCAGAGCGAACAAAGTGTCGGAGGGTTATCCACTTCGAAAATTACACGTCCCGATTGACGAGCCCAACGCGTGATATCTCACAGCCTTTGTCAGGGATTGTCGACGAGACTCAGGGAACCCGTCAGTTTCCTATCACGGGACATCAAAAATTCCCTGGAAGGAGCAAAACATCGTCGCGTGCTACAATCTACGCCTAACGAGATCGAAGCCCCCACGGGCGCTACGATGGCGGTGGCGGAAACTCCCTCGGAAAGAACACACTCGATTTTCCGGCCGTCGGTGTCAAATGTTCTCCGTCCCAGCTGCGAATGGCGAGCTTGTTTGGCCAGCCATTGTTTCGCAGCCGGGAGCAAGGCACACCCCAGAGGCTTTACGCTGTTTGGACTCTCAAACTTTTCGGTTGACCAAGAACTCCCTCGGACCGGGTCGTCGGACCCCGATTCGACTTTTCTCCGAGTCCCGATGATGACTGTAGTTCCTCTGGAGCTCGGCAGCTGCCACAATGGCGCCCGTGGAGCCGCGTGGATCGAGCTGATAATCGTAAGAGCACAAAACCGTACCCTGGATAGTCCTTTAATCGGAAGCTGTCCTGCGTCGCGGCAAGCATCTTAGTGTTAGTCCGGGCCGGTCTCGACCGGAGCTCGCTCAGCTCGTCCCTGACTTCGCGCGTACGGATATAGTAGTTGAAGTCCATGGCGTGACTCCACCCATCATAGCCACTGACCGATCTGCGGGTATTCCAACAAGCGTCCCTCAAACTAAACGATCTTGACCAAAGCTTCCGGCGTGCGCCAATCGGCGGTTCCGTCAAGCAAGGTGCGCTCGGATAATTCCGATCGTCAAGGTCGAAGCATCAGCATGGGACGTCTCCTAGAGTATCCTATCGGTCTGCGCTCTACGCTCTACGGGAATGAGCGTCAAAAACGCGTGTTTCGCGCTACAGCCCGTGAATGGCTCTACGAATTACTATGGAATCAAGTCAATGAGCGCATGATGGGCAGCGGTTCCGACTCTGAACTCTAGAGGTCGATTCATTACAACTCATGTTTTCCCTCAGAGGCAGTCGGAGCGCCCTGGTCGCTGAACGGGCGCCGGTTCTCCCACGTGTCGATTTCCCAAAGTCACGTCGAATACCGCGGGAATAAGCGCTCGCAGGCAGCCAGGCCAGCAGGTGAATTGGCCTGGGTACATACTAGAATCGCCAATGTGGTTCGATTTTGACGAGCTTGAAATCACGAGCTTGAATCTGATCGAGAGCGGGCGATGATTTCCGCGCAGCTCCGGGAATCCAGTCGGTGGGAGACACTGCAGCGGAATTTTCTTACGGGATGAGTTTCCCCGAGCCTTCGATCCTGATGCCTTGAATCCCGCTTTTGGAGAACGGGCTGACGGAATGCGTTGTGCTGATTTGCTTTCGCTATCGGACAGTCGCAGTACGGAGACCCGAGAAGCTTTCGAACAACTCCTTGAAAGAACAGGGCGGTAACGCATCGGAATCGGCTCGATCGGTCATTGATTATTATCTTATCTTGCTTGAACCCGTGTCGTCCTAGGCTTGCCTCAGAAGTCGCCCACGGTGGGACGCAGACGCGGGTGCTGTCGCCGACCGCAGAGATGCCGCAAATAACATGTCGTCCGAACAGGAGAGAATTTTTATGTTTCCTTTCTCGAATTGGCCGCTGTTTAGAAGCTTTGGCTCGCCGAGTGCAAAGCACGTACTTCTTATATTTCGCCACCTCTCGTGCTGGGGACCTAGTTCCGACGAGCTTCGGCAGTCCGCCGACGGTCGAGGCGTTTCCCTCCTCCCTCCTGTTCTCCTTTTCCTCTTCTGCTGCTGCCGCCGCCACTTGCAGCAGCGCTTTCCCTTTCGAGGCCGTCGCCGTAGCAACGAGCGGGCCCAGTCTTCCGTAATCAGGTCAATGTCACAGGATGCCCGTATCGAGCCATGTTCTCGATCTTCCGTCCTTGGTCCGCAGCGGAAGAAGAGAGCGTCGCTCCGAAGTGCCGTTTTATCGTTCGACCCCGCGGAATCTGCCGGGAAAATGTATCTGTTCCATACGTTCTCCGTTCACTCTGATTCACGGGCTCATTCACCCAGCTACTTACGCAGATCCGACTCCACCCAAACCGGGCAAAATAAAGACCCAAATCGTTCACGTGCCCAGATGGCTTCATATATAATTTTAGTTTGTTGTTTATTTTCGGGCCAGTTCGTCGGCTTCACTCTCTGCAGGAGCTTCGGCGCATGTGGATGCCTCCCATCGTGCATCGCCCCGCTGCTGCCCCGCTCCTTCCCCGCAGGGACTCGCTGGATGCTGAGGATGGTGGGAGCACGCCAAGGTCGTTCACTGTCTGCTTATTTGGCTGTTTCCCGGAGATTCCTGGAGAGGAAGCTGATTCACCTATCTTTCGACAGTGGAAATACTGCTCTCATTCGAGGAACGAGTCGGATTCCTGCTCACGATTAATTAATTAAATGAAGTCGGATTCTCTCATGCCGAAACTGCCCACGCTCGGAGTGAAGCGAGTTCCCTCGATCCGAGTCTCGGTTATACGCGAAGCACCGGCCCTAGGTCCCGCCGATCAGCGGTGAGACAATCACGAACTACGTACGCTCGGGGGCAGCTGCAGAAGAAAGAAACCGGAGGGAACATATTCGGGCACCGGCTCAGCGTCGCGGGACCCGAGCCACTGTCCGGGAGCTTGCCGATACTTTGGCAAGACTCCAGGAGCTCAGAATCGATTGGACGAGCCCCAAGGGCTTATGACGCCAGCTTGTCACGCTAAGATCCTATCAGGCGATTGTGGTGAACGTCGAACACCACTTGCCGTGTAATCTCATCCCGATCCTGAGCCTAAGTTGTAAACGTGGCGGGAGGCTCCATCGATTCCTCCTCCTGCTCCATGTACTTCTTTCGCACGAGCGAAGAGGAAATGGAAAGGGAAACGATCGAGGAACGCAATTACGGTTCAATTCTTTCGAGAATTATCCGATTCCGGAACTTGAAGAGGGGAAGGGGAGGGGAAGGGGGAAAAGCCAAGGTTCCCATTCGACATGGGACAGACTGTGCCTCGACCTTCACTTCAACCAAAGGTTTCTTCCCTGTCGTCTCCACATCGGATTTCTGGCGATCCTCGCGCCAGGTGTCGGGTCGATGTTGTCGCTCGCGCAGAATACTCATCACTACGATGAGAACTTACCGTCTACGACATGCAAGTGACCTTAATGACTTGTATCGGGCTCAATCGCGACTATTTCCAACGATGGGCAGTGATCCCTTTGATGACAGGTCCGCCGATCGGGCGAGTTGATTCATTCCGTCATCATTAGAACGTTTTTGGCCTCGAGTCCCCAGAGATTACCACCATCCGGACTTTTCGTCCCCAGCCTCGCATTTCCGCATTGGAGCGTGCGAATGCCACTGTTCGGGAATCGTCTGGTGGAAATAAGAATGGAATAGCCTCACGCCTCTCGATAAAGCTTCACCAGGTTCGCCGACGTCCTCCTGACTGGAGAGATGGACATAAGAGGGGGGGCAGGACTGCTCGAAATATTGCAGAGAGTCGCCATTTTTTCCTCGGGGATAGAAATCTCCCGTGTCGACTCGGGCGTCGACTCTACACAGTACGTCGCGTTCGCTGATCAGCTATAGCTCTCTCATGATTGGAATCTAATCCACCGTTCTTTTCTTCCGTTGCAGGAGCGAGGGCTCAAGGGGAATCCGTGTTTGTACGGGTAAACCACAACGCATCATTGGTCTGCCCGCGCATACCGGAAGGCATATCTCCTCAGAATCCTCTGGTCTGGTGGAAAGACGACGTCCTCGTCCAGACCGCCGACCCGCAGGGAAGCCAGAGTTCAGTGGGTCAGCGAGTATGGATGAGAAACAGTCAACTGTATATCAGCCGTGCCCTGACCGACGACTCCGGTGAATATTCCTGCGGAATACAGGGCCAGAGGAAGCCCGCCGGGACCGTGAAGCTCTTCGTGCAAGACGTGCCCGACCCGCCTGGTGAGTACGACAAAATTTCTGGCGTTTCCATCGAGAATCGCTTAGATAGTCGCGGTGTTCCTACATCGGAAGGCCGAGGGAGCTCGGCGAAGAGCGAACGACCCCTACGGTCATCCGCGACGCTTCGGACTGGACTCGAAGCGTAGAAAACCCAGGCGTGTAACATGCTCAGAAGAGCGGGACTAGCCTCACAATGACTTTTTCCGGTTTGTACGGATAACGCAGAAGAAGCTTAACTGGTTTCCTGCGACCGAGATTCGCTGATAGCGGGAGATTGCAGAATAACGTCGCTCTCAAGCTGCGTGTCCTTCCTGGATTATCTTGTATGGGGCTGAGAGCTACACCGAGGCTCCGATCGTTGAGGAGAATGGAAGGAAGAGGACGATAGAGCGGAGAGGAAACGCGGGGCCGCAAGCGCGAGGAACAGCGCAGATTCCGTGTGACTCGAAAGCACAAATTGCAGCGACGTCGGTGCTTGTTTCGACGAAATTACTTCAGGCTCGAGCAGCACGGATTTCCAACGCAGAACGGACTCGAGCATCTCTGATAGGCGCCCTTTTCCGAAGCGGGAGAAGAGAGGAATAATTGAATAGGGAATGGACGGCACTCCTCGAAGAAGAAGAAGGAGAGTGAGCGGTGGAAATCCTTCGAGCGTCATCCATCGGCGGGTGAGAGGATTTTCCGGGGCGACTCCGATAGAATGCCGATGAGGGAGATACCTACTTTGATTCAGAGAGGAAGAATGGCACATGACGCGCAACTCAAAACGGAAGAGCTGGGGATCCGTTCTGTTAGGGATCCAAGCAGTGAAAGTCTAGTTGAGGCTTCACATCGACAGCCATTCCTGCTCCATTCGGGGAACGGGCCGCCAGTGACCGTCTTCACAGGACCAGAGCGGAGCCACCGAATGAATAGAAATTGCCTGTGCCTTGAGAATCGAGTTGCCTTGAGCAAAGCAGAAGCTCATTGTGTGAGGAAAATCAGACACTGAATAGATTGGTCAACATCGCTGCCAGGGAGGAGTCGGACTCGCGGATCTCGCAGCGAGATGGAGATAAGGAGGATCCTTAAAAAAATAAAAAGTGGCCACACCCGTCGGAACTCAGCTCCGAATTTCAGAGGCTTGAATGTCTCTCGGGAGCCCTCCGAAACGTAGGAGACAGGGCCAGATACCGATGCGAATCGTTCGGATCGGGCGCGAATACTACCTACAAAAAAATCGCCACTCCGAGCTCCCGGCCGTTCTTGCGGTCCACGCAAAATATCACCTAAAATGTTTCCAAGTCCGATAAATAATGCACCCTCCGCGTGCCATTGTTGCTGACCCGAAACTAACGGGCTGAAACTTTCCACGGCTCGGGAAGACGAGTCCAAGGTCGCTGAGCCGGCAGACGTGGAACGTGATAGGTTCGCCGTAAGCACAGAAGCTCAGCATCTTGAAATGAAATGCCGGAATGTCAGTCCTAGCTAAGCAGCCAGCGGATTCCAGGGGGAGGTGCGTTCGGGGACTCAGCAGGACAAAAAAAGAGCAGGGAAAAATATGCAAAAACGAGAGTCAAGACGAAGATGAGAGCACATTTTCCGAAACACTGTGTGGGAAAACCTACGGTTCTTCTCCATCTGACTCCGCTTCCAGATGCTCATTGGGAAATATCGTTCCGGATGTCTGCAGTCGGACATTTTCGACGGCCGTGTCGGGGATGTTTGAGCAGCAACTTTCCGAAGTTGATTGTGTAAAAACGTGGCTGAAGTTTGCGTCTGCGCCGAAGAATATCGAAAACTACTCGCTCGGCTCCGCGGAAGATCGAACGAGAAAAAGACCGCAGAGCTCGCGGCCGTGAGGTCGTGCTGTTGGAATAGCTTTGTCGAGTTTACGAGTACGCGGGAGCTCCGGAAGAGTCGCTCGCAGACTCTTCCGAATATCTGCTCCCAAAAAAACGGCGGAACGAATCGTTTGAGTGCGCAAAGCAAACGCAGGAGCGCTTCGTTTGGTTGTGTCTAACGGATTCGTTCCTCCGATATCCGGCGGGAAAAGCGGAGTCGCTCGTCAGTCAGGCAGCTGGCCAGTCAGGAAAAACCAGACATAGTGGGCTATACAATGTGAATAATGAATGATCTTGTTCTCCATTTCCCCGTGAGTGAGGGTGACGTGCACGAGCAGGACTGACTCCTGAATTCGAACTTGGAGTTCTGTCTTCCTAGAGGAAGCCTATTCGAAATCTCAAGATGAAGAAAAAACAGTGGCTGGCCGCAAGCGGAATCGAATGAGAGAGCCTATCCGAAGCTTGGTTTGAGTTCGCATGACACCGAATTGGAGCCTCTTCAATAGCGAGCTCGGTGGTTATGCTCGACGATTTTCATTTTCTCCCTCAGGCGAGGCCTTGTGAACTGATTCGAATTTTCCGCAAGCTGGCGAAGACTAGAAAAAGCCCAATCGCACAACTCTAACGGGAATCGATGTATTACATATGTTGTTGTGGAATTCGATAGATGAGCGATATTCCCTTCTATGCAAATGAATCGGAACTCGAGCGTAACAAGGTCAGCCTGAACACTAGACGCCGAACAAAAGCTCGCAGAGCACCATCATCAGCCCTGCCGCGGAGCCGCGAGGGAGCTCGCGGCCCGGTGTGAAGCCATGGTCATGAATCCGGTTCGATTCGAGTTTGCCGAAAATCCATGAATTTCATCGACGGGTAATAGCGTCAGAATCGAGTCGTTGCTCAGAATCCGCTTTCTCTGCGGATCAGATGGACTACGGCGGCGAGCGTTTCGATCGACGGCCGACAAACTTCGGATCGTTATCGCGGGCAGCCTATTCATCGCAAGTTTGCTCCGATGATTGCGGCAGACTTCGAATGGTGCGATTGAAAAATATTCATCGAGACAGCGAGGCAATTGTTTTTAGCTCAAGGCTGTCAAAGAATTGGATTTCTGATTCTTTCCGACACTATTTATTTATCCAAATTGAGGGACGAACAACGGCGAGAGCCATTAGTATCGTATATTATTCTGCTCCGCCGTCCACCATCACGCAATAGAACTACTTATTGGAGCTGTACACTTATCGAGCGAAGAAAGCGGATAGCGATAGAGAACCGAGAACCCCGGGCGTTTCCGGCGGGAGCCAAATGCGCGCCAGACAAATTGACAGTTGTTGCTACGGAACAATTGAAATTCATTCATTGTTGTCATAAGTGCGTCTGTGCACTCGGCGAATGACTCGTTGATTTCGGTTGACGGATTCCCTGCTCTTTTTCTCCCCCATGATTTCAATCTCTCTGCCGACGAACGTGAATTCGCATCGGGTCTTTGAATTACCGAGCCGTTATCGCTCTCTGGTCGTGTGATCGCGCTGATAAGGTTTCCTGTTAGCAGAGAATAAATTTTTTGATGCTCGTACAACAGAGCTCCGCCATAGTAGTCCTTGGTTTCGGTACGCAAGCCATCAGAGAGGCTGGGCTGCGGACAACCACGTTCGCAACGATGTACGCCGCCCCCTGAATCACCGAGCATGATGGAAGTTGATGAGACATCGCCGCTCGGGGTTAAAAATTTACCTCTCGAAGTCGCCATTATCCCTGGCTGTCCGGACCCACACTCGAGTCGGGCCACTGAGCACCGTCGGGAGACAGCGATTGGAAGACTGAACAGAAGCGTAATTCTCTTCAACCAAGCGAGATTCAAGAGAGCTTCCCGTGGGCCCCACATCCCCTTCCTGTATCCCGTATATTGCCCCACCCCCTAAACGAAACAATTCCCTCCATGCGGAATTCCGATTGAGTCCCGTTAGCTCCCCTGATCCTCACCTCCAGGTTCGCGGAGCGAAAAAGTCGGTCAGTCGCGTGCTCGGGCTCGCACCAAGCTCGGTGTCCCGGATAAATCTGTAAGCGATTCATCCCTGTCTGCCTGCGTTTCTACGGTACGACGACCTTCCAGAGGTCGCACCGAACCGAGTGATGTGGAGAACGGGGAATCTGAGCCAAATTTTTTTCCACCCGAATCTCACCCTCCATACCTGACGGGATCTTCAAGACGGCGGAATGTGATTACCTTCCGATGCCCTTCCGCTGCGCAATACTTTCGGAGACGGAGTCGAGATATGACAGTGTAAATATTGGTCACGGAAACCGCTACTCTGATCGTAGCAGTATTGGGCGGTTTCGAGTGTTCTCGAAGTTCGAAGTGGAACCCTGAGACGGTTCAACTCAGAGCGATTCCTCCGATGTCGTCCATCCTCGAACCGTTTGAAATCTCTTCCCCCATATCGACCGGACCTCCGGTTGCTTTCTCGACATCCGTTCTTCCCATTGAAGGGTGTCACGGCTATCCAAGCTCCTCCGCCGATCGTGACCAGATATCCAGAGGCGACGGCTCGGACCTCGACGTCAGAAGCCCCTGTGATCCCAAGTCAGTGAGACGACTGTTCCCGCAGCGTCCGAGCAGCCAGACAGTGCGTGCAGCGTCCGCGGAACTTATCCGCAATGTGAGATATTGATGGACAACCAATAAAAATTGTTATGAACCTCTTTATGAGCCGCTCGGATTTTCGACGATTGATTCGAGATTGATTCCATGCGATCTGGCAAAGACAAAGCGATCCCCCACAGCGATACGCATCCATAAAACCGTGATGTCTCACGGTTCCAGCGTTTTATATTATTCCCGGATGGAATCGTTTGAGGAAAACACCCCCCTGTTTCGCATCGCGAGCCGAACTCTAGCCGACCCAGGAATTTACGCCCGGGATATCGCGTCGAGAGCCGAAGGTCTCGCCAGCCGAGAGGAGCGAGTGTCATTCCGGCTCACAGGGAGTGAGACATTTTCGAAACTCTGTTCGAATGCTCTCGCGTTCTCGCATGACTACGTCCCGCATTCGAACGTCGCAGTCAACTCTCTATGAAGCTCGAGACTGCTCTAATTGCGATGAGAATTCAGTGCTATGTATGGCTGATCGATTCGACGCCCGAGTCAGATTAGCGCGTGGGACGTGGTCCCGAGAGTGCGTGACTCGGCGAGCGATCCAACCTGCATCAACAAATACCCCCAGCCCACATTGTGTGTACAATCAAAGTCGCCGTCCCGCTGTTCCGATGGCGCTATTCTGACGCTCGGCAACAGCGGTATATTTGCCGTGTAGGGAAAACTATGAGTGACGATTTTATTTCACTGTAACGGAAAATCAATCCGAGTTGAGCTCCCTCGGAAGGTTCGGAATACCTCTGTAGCTCAATGATATGCTTCAATTACAGGAACGCCCCTGGTTGGGTTTTTCTCTTCCCGTACGGTGGACCTGTCCTGGACCACTTCCCGAAACACACACCACTCTCCGATTCTACATTACATCATTGAAATTCGCGTTGGCGAACACGGAGAGTGGGACTCGCGGAATCGCGTCATGACCAAGGACAACGTGACCAGGCATCAGCTGATCGGTCTCCAACCGTTCACAGTGTATTCCTTCCGGGTTTTGGCCGTCAACACCATCGGAGCTTCCAAGCCGTCCAAGCAGAGCTTTTTCATGATCACCCTTCGTGAAAGTGAGTATGCTGCTTTATAACCAAGCCCTCATTCCCGTTCCCAGCATGCCTAAATGTTCTCTCCACCGCTCGGAGTATCCCCGAAAATCAATACTCGGTCGAGTCAGCACGATTCCGTATCGAATATTTTCTGGTCTACGAAGAGCGTCGCATCTTCGTAGTTCCGTGGCAGCGACGCAGTTTTTCCGCTTTTTCCATCTTACTCCGTCTTCGGCCGTCTGGCGCGCATGTCTCGAGAAAGGCAGGCTCCTAGAGCGGCTCAGGTGCGATCTTCTCCACTGATCTCTACCGTCTGTCGGATCTAGCAGACCTCTTTTGAGAGAGCGTGACTCGTCGCTACACGTGCAAGTCACCTGCTCCTTGCAAACGTGTTTCCCTCGTTCCCCCTCGTGGCTGGAGGATTAGAATGGTCGATTCATGACACAGACGCACAATCTGACAATTGGCCAGCCGCAACTGTAATGGATGCTTCAAGACGGCAAGGCCGACTCACTTGAAGCCCCTCTTCGCAGTTCTGTATTTATATATCATTCTCATTCAGCCGAGGTATTTCGGAACGACTCGGATTCTTATTGAGTTCTCATTTCAGTTGAAGCTATGAATGTTAGTCCTTGGGGTTTATGATTCTTCATTTGTTGAGAAAAAGAGCATGGCATTTGTTCTCCATTTCCGCATGATATCTTTTCAATGGGGCTTCCAAAAAATTCCCAGGGCATTACCGCCCTGGTCGAAGGATTCTGCCTTCTTTCTTGACTCGTGAGGCTCGTCGCAGAATATGGGAAGCCAGATGGGATTTGCGAATGTTCGAAATATTGGAACATCTGGATCCAGAACAATTTTGTCTCGGATAGGGTGCAGACATACCCTTTCGGGAGGTAACTGCCTTTGTGTTCCCTATACTCTTCGTGAACGTTGAGCGGGCGACGAGTCGAGGTGAAAGAGTCCTCTGAAGTCTCCATGGAGGGCCGCCGGCACGAATAAAAACGTGTGAATGCTTACCGCTCCCCTCCGTGCCCGTACTTATCTTCGAGCGGAGTACCTAAACGACTAACAGCCTTGGACCTCCAGAGTACCGAGTCCTGCGGGCCCGCTCTCCCGAGCTCGTTTCCCGGGAAGGTTTTTCTCTCGGAATTCATGCTCGCCCAATTCTTGGAGGGCCATGCCTATGGGTCGTCTCGCGTCGATCCCACTCACTTGTGAAATTCGACAATCAGAACACTCTCCCCTGTCTCGGAACCCTTCCACCGTATCCTTCTAATGGAGTATTTTCCCCGCAGTTCCTGAAGGCAAGCCGCACATTGTCTACGCGCAAAACACGTCGTCTACGTCGATCAGAATCCAATGGACTCCTCCGCCGAAGAACACCATTCACGGCGAATTCGAAGGATACCGCATAACATACAAGCAGCGAGAGCGAGCAGAAACTGACGAACCGCGGGAAGTCATCATCCGGAACAGTCAGACTACGGTAAGTTTCGGACAGCGTTATCCAGCCCACCTCAAAGAACCGCCAGATTCGAGCGAGAGTCCGAGGTTCCCAGGAATTTTCCCCCGGCGACTGACCTCACCGGAGCGTGCAATCAGAACGAGTCTCAAGTCTAGCACAGTGTACTCCACGGCCTATTTTAGCCCTGTCTTGCTAGGCTACCGCCGTCATCCAACACCTCTGACGACGATGTCTAATCAAGCAAAGTGCTTATCTCCGGTGGACTTGAGCCCATCTCCTAGTCCCAGCTTTTGATCAATGATAGTTGAGCGCTCAGACTTATTGCGAGCCTCTCAGAATATCGATTTGGACCGTCGCGTCGTCGAATCGAGCGAGCTGGAATTCGCACTGGGACAATATGGGACAATTGCTGACATCTGTCGCTATCGTACTGGGGTGCGAGTCTAATCAGATAGGTAGGAACTCTTCACATCTTTCTTATCTTATCGTGAAATTTTCCGTCCGCAAGTATATTGCCGTCGGCGTCGGACGAATCGCCAAGTATCGGAACACCTCTGAGGAAACTGTAAAAGGTCTCTTCAAGGAGAGGGAGAATATGACTTTTGATTGGAAACGATCAAATATTCACGGTCCCGGATTCGATCTGAAGACCTGCCGTGAAGTACGAAGTTTGTCAAAGGGCACCGCGGTATGGTGAACTCCACGGTTTTCGAGTCAGGGGACTCCGCAAGAGGGTTGCGGACAATCCCAGGGAATGGAGCTCGTCGAACTTATGCGTCACCATATGTGGCGAACCCTATACTTTCGGATTTTAACCATCGACCGGATCCCTCGGATAGGGCGAAGGCTGCGGCAGCTCTGCTCTGGTGGAGGCCTTTAGAAACCAATCAGGGAGATGACGTCCGGCAGTAAGATCCTTCTAGTGTCCGGTAAATCGAGGACCGGGAGGAGCCAGGACTCATGAAGCGCAATTTCCGTGAAATTGCACGTGCTCTGCCTTCAAGCAACGTCATAGCAACGCATAGCAACGTCAGCATTGTATGGATTCTCTGGCGGCTCCCGATATCATGGGCGGAAGCAGAGGTGATAGTGCGAGGAAAGCAGAATGTCTTTCCTTCGAATGATGCTCGCAAAAAGGACACGGCAGCGGAACAGACTCGCATCACCTGGGAATTCTCTGCTCGGAGCGGCATCCGGGCGTCTCGCCGTTAAAGAAAGTCGACCGTCCTCCCAGACCACAGACGAGCTGCCTCATGAATGAGCGGAGAGGTAGACGAGTTAGCTTTGAATTGACAATGACACTGTGACCTCGACATTCATAGATGAGCGGTCTATGTTAACGTTGCAAGCAGTTTCTGCAATCAACCGAGTAGCCGAAGGGGCAGATCAATCGTATTCAAATTAACTTCGATTGTGAAAGATCGTTCCATGCGGCACGGCTTTCATAGCTACTCAGTGCGCTCGCTCCCTCGTCCCACGTCAGAGTAGAAGAAGCTGCAGGAATCCTGCCTATCACGTTGAGCGAAGTCATCCTATTTCGATGTCTCTCTGTAAGTTTGTGCGAGCCTCACTATCGATTGGTTCATCGATCCCGCATTCGCTGACCCACTCGGAACCTGTGTTCGTGAGACCGCGGCGGGGCTGAACAAGCGGGTCTCCCCTCATTGGGGCACTAACCCGCCCCCTCCCCCCCTGGAACGAGTTTCCGTGCATTCTCAGCCCGACAGACGCCCGATTCATTTTGGGGTCTCTGAAAAAGGGTAGAGACCCTTGACCGAGAAGTAAAACGTTGCGGGATGCGGATATCCACGACCAAAATCCATCCCACTTCCCTCCATCATCCGTAAGAGGTCGAATCAGAAATTTTCTGCTTCGGAAACCCCTCTGGGAATGGGTTTACACAGCAAGAAATCCAGCTGTTCCCCAACACTCTCGAAACTAAACAAACGGCGGGAATCATACTCTCACACGAGGTAGACAGCGATCACAAATGCCCTAGCCGACGTCAGTCACGAGACATCATCTAGATACCTACGCATCACTAGCGAGGATACTAGGGAGCGTGAGCGTCGGATTCCGGACCATCGCGTAGCCGCCCACCCTGCGGACCCTGTCGCCAATGGGACTTTCAGCAGGCGGTGACGAGCAGGGCTCGCGAACGATCCATAGTTGACCACCGTTCCACGCATGGATTGAAAGCTGATTGGCAGAAGGAGGCTGGGAGTTGCAGAGGCAACTGTGCCGATGAGGGGATCGGCTATTGCGTCGCAAAGTAACTAGAAGACGACTCGAACACCGCAAAATTAGAGCTCTCGGATGGAACCTCAGATACTCGAGAGGAGGTTTTCGGTCTCTCCCCCGGAACTCCAGGAAGAGCTCCCGTCCCCTGCCACGATGCCCTGGGGGGAAAAAAGGCATCGTGGGCGCTCCGGGAAAACTTTCCGAGTCCGGATCCAAGTAGAGTGAAGCCTCAGATTCTACAGTGTGGAAGTCACTTCGAGGAAACCTTCCTCAGTCGGGAACGAAACATCCGGGAAGCGGAGGAAAGGGATCCAGACAAGCCGCGCGGAGAGACCATATCGAATCTGAGGGATCAGGACGCGATATGGGCATCAGTGCCGGCGACAAGGGCTCCCTCGCTACGAATTCGTGGCGTCAGGGCCGATATCGAGCTGACCGGCCTGACGATGACCACACCTTCGAAAAGTTTCAACTGACAATGAGAGAGAGGGTCCCGCTCGATCAACGATCGCTCGGAGTAGAACGGTTTGACTCTTCTTGAAACAGAGAGTCAGAGGGGAGGGAAAGCCAGCCGCGTGCTGTAACAACAATAATAACAGAAACGGAATAACTCGGAGAAGAGGAAGTGCCAGGCGCCACCGACGAAAACAGAGCAGTAGAGAGAGAAGCTCCCGTCAGACTTACGTCAGACGGAGCCGTTCGATATCGGTGACCAGAACGACGGAAGGATTCGGGAAGAGAGAGAAACAGCAGAAGCAGAAGCTGTCAGCCGAAGACAGGCAGGTGGGTGCATGGGGGAGAATGAAAAAGTCGTCTGCTAGCGGTACCATTTTTCGTCGAGTTCTCGTTGATGTTGTCGGTGCGCCGTGTGGCGCTGCTGAGAGCTGAGCAGCCGGTTTACCGTCGCCGCCGTGGTACTGGTATTGGTGCTGCTTCGTCTTTGTTGCGGCGGCTCGCTCCCCGCTCTTCGCGTGTCCGCTGCAGCAGCGACAAGGAGTGTAGATTCGCCGTTGCCATCAACCAGTGGCCGGTCGGTCGACCAGTCACTCGCTGCATCTGTTACCGTCGCCGTAGGCTCCCCCGGCAGCAGCAGCAGCATCAACACTCGACGGTCAGACATGCAGACGAGGGCCTCGTCTCCGATATGAGACCGAAAACTCACTGAGTCGCAGGTGCATCTCAGACGGATTTAGTGTTCGAGGAGCTCAAAGCTCAGTGTTACAACTGTTGACGTTAATGTTGATGCTGCTCTCGTTGCTCTCCTCTCGCCAGTTGGTGCCTGCCTGGAGTTCTGGTATCGACTGTGTTCCCGTGAATATTGACTCCTAGATGCGTTCTATCCCTCGCTTCGGATTTTCGCCGATCGTGCGGAAAATTGTGCTCGTGAATTCCGAAGGATAAAAGTTGAAGAGAAATATTTCACGGTCTCGTGGAATTGCCAGTTGGATTGACGAGGGAACTCTGTACTCCAGCTCGGCACTGCTGGGTGACCGTATCGACGATAGTACCATGTACAGTACGACGGCGGTATTGAGTGAGAAACGCTGCGACTGAGAGGTTAGTTCATCTCTACTCCAGAGGGAAATATCATTGGGAGGCGATTAATTCGATGACCGCATCTGAGAAAATGTTCTCGAGATCACCCCACAGCTGAGCTTGACTATTTCTTGACGGAAACACCGTGATGTGGCTCCGAAAGCGGAATTTTTTGGATATGTCGTCTACGAAGGTCTCGGAAAGCAACCGTTGGATCCGGTACGATTTGGGAGGAGGGATGATCTGGAAGACCCAGTTTCCAGCGGGGGGACATGATCGCGATATCCGCTTTCGAGAGCACCGAAACAAATTCCGCATTCGAGGGACCTCTTGTCCCCAATGGAGTCCATGTAGAGAGAGAACTATGTTCCTAAGGACTCTGATTGAGGAGTACCTCATCTGATGACTCCCTTGTGGGGGGATCTCTCACGAATTCGGAATCCCTTCTGCTTACGATGGTCACAGATTCAAATGCTTTCACTGAATCGGTCTCATCAAGACATCAGACCAGCACGTAATGTTCAGAGATGTCTGACGAGAGTGAGTCTCCCGGATGTATCACGTACTACTCAACATCCACCCCAGTTGCCGATGAATAGTGCGTTCAGACTGACTGGGAGACCCTGAGTCATCGATTTCTTCTCTGGATAGATTGGGGATGAGCTCTGACGTGAATTCTGCTAGGATTCCCCGTGAGCGATCATCTGTATGCCCTTCCTCGGAAAGGGATTGAGTCTGGAAAATGATACATCCGGAATCCGGAATGTACACATACGATTACCCGTCTCGCATGTTTGCTGTTCATTCGATGAGTTCGACAGGACCAAGGCGTGTTGAGGTTGTAAATCGTTTTCGAGTACGGAACAGTCGTGGGACAAAGCAGGATATTTTTGATCGACTAACGCAGCGAACTATGCTAGTCGACTTGCTACGCACATAGCCGTACACGGCTCCGATGAAGGGCCACAAAAGTTCAAACAGAGTCAGCGGATCCACTCGCCATTCCGCTTCTCATCCGCATGGAAGGGAAACCACTAGAAATTATTTCACGCCACACGGAACGATCTTGAGAAGCGATTCCTGATGCTCCGCAACAAATCCACTTCGAGAGTCCCAGATCGGGGGTTCATGAATTGCTTGCTAAAGCCTCCGATGTCTGAATTCATTTCCATCGTCCTTGGTCTTGGCATGCGCTTCCCGCCTGCGCTCTAGGGTCTGAGTGCAGCCGGGTATACTCTCGCTCGCCTGAGAACTCCCGGTCGGAGAATCATGTCCTCCTAAAGGTGATTATATAACATTCCGTGGCGCTCCCCTCGACATCGGAAAATGCTATGTCCATTCATGGATCGCTTATCCAAGCTCGTATTGCGCCGCAGCGACGTAGCCTGGGACTACAGGACAGATCGTACTGGTCAGTCAACGGGAGCGTACCCATACTACTATTGTTCGAGAAGGTCCAAAACGTCCGTTGACGGCGTCGGAAACGGCCGATTCTTTCAGCCGCTCCATGGTCAACGCAGGTGCTCTATTAAATGCAGCCCGTGTCGCTGAACGAGCCGGCGCGCGAACGAACCGTCTCTTCTACTCGATCCCTTTGCAGTCAGTCAGTCGGTCGGTCGCACGAACAAACACGCACGCCTAAGACAAAGCGTAGCTCGTTGATATCGGGGCGATGCTTAGCCCTTGCGAGGCCTTCGATCATTATTCCGCTGTGATCTCACGCATGAATAATTGATACATGGAAAATAATATTAGAGTCCTCCTCGATGTTCTCCAAGGTGTAATCCCAATCTCATTATTTGAGCAATCCAGAATCAAGCTGGTTCTTGGCGTGCTCCGGGGACGAGCCTCTATCATTTTACAGAGCTCCACGCTTTTCGCGATCAGGGAGAACGCTTAGGAAATTCGAGAGGCTCATTTCTTCCCTCATGTGATATCACGGAATTATGCTCTCGCCAAGCGAGGATTTTTTATGATAGAGGAGCAGTCTGACTTTGCGGTCTGCTCGGTCGTTCGATCGTGCGTGAATTTTATTGAGAACTCTCGTGTAATGGAAACCTTAATGGTTCTCGGGAGCCCGACGGAACATTTCACCGGCTAGACGCTGTTGTCATTTTTCCTGGAAGTCGGGAACATTTCCTAATTCTGAGCCGCTGAAGCTTATAGGAGGGAATGGTTCATCCCATTCAGGGTCTCGACACGTCGGCGTGACGAATTTGATTTCATTTCCCTCGATGCATTCGGGTCACGGACCTGGCTCCGGATATGTTCGGTTCGACAGTAACCGTGCGATGGTCGAACTCGAGTTTAGCTCATTCAACTATCGACAGCCCAAGCGAAGATTCCGGTTTTCTAATTTGGAAATTCTTCCCCTTTCAGCACTACACCATCAGGAACCTCGAGGTGTACACTCAGTACCTCGTCTCGCTGCAAGTTTTCAACCCAGCAGGTCGTGGACCTCCGGTTGTGGTTCCCGTGATGACAGACGAAGGCATTCCCTCAGCGCCGCAAAATCTCACAGCGGATAAGGTCACCCAGTCTAGTGTTCTGCTACATTGGGCCGAACCAGCCCAACCTAACGGTTCGTTGCGCATCGCTCGAGATCAATATTGAGTCGTAGACCATAGTGGTTTTCGCCCGAAAGCATGCGTTGCGATCATTCAACTTCTGTGAGGCTTCAGGGAGCGTTACGCGGGAGAATTACTCTACGAAGATGAGGAATATCAATCGAAATCTTATCCCCCATTATCCGGAGCTGGTTGAATCCGACATGGCCCATTCCGATCCTTGACTCGCAGGAGGCGGATTTGGCAAGAGCTCCGAGAATTCGTTTCCCCGATGTTTTCGCCCCGTAATGTCGAAAACGTCACGACATTCCCATGCCTCATTCTCGTGTGGGGAAAAAAAGAGTGATAGCTCCTGTAGACCCTCGGTTGCGAGGATTAATCATGCGCCAGATCTCGGATCCATTCGTCTTCCTTATCGCTTATCCCGAACGGCCTTATCTTGATTTTATTGGCCGTCTTTGTTTGTCAATCTTGAGAGTCTCTCGACGTCCGGGGTTCTCATCGAGGAGATATCGCTTGCGGAAACAAATCCGTCGAGCGGATATACCGGTTGTATTTCGGAACCCTAAATGTTCAGCCGGCAGCCAGAGTCGAACCCCCGTGAAGGGGGACCCTTCCCGCACACCGATTGCTCCCAAGGCGTGTCCTTCGGCGAAAATCTTCACAGACCACATATTCTAGAGTAGAAACGCCCAGCAGTGCCGTGGACTGTACTTCCACGACTGAGGTTTTGACGGGTCCCCCTCTTCGATTTCCAGGAGTGATTCGTGGTTACCTGATCCACTTTTCGCAAGCTAGTTCCAGAAATGAGACACAGGTTAAAAAAGTTATTGGGTCTCGTCCGCTTAACGAATACATCCTCTCAGATCTCAGTGAGTATCTATGTATTTCATTCGGTCCCGTGAATTGACGAACTCCGAAACTATAGCGCGAGGAATGAAAATCGCGTCTGTCTTCCGGGATTCCGCGGCATGCAACTTGACGCATCGATCATTCTTTTGCGATCGTTCCCGGCTTGAAGTTTTTTCAGCCTTACTTCTAGATTAGAAATAGAATGTTTCCTAATCGGAGTGACTGATCACCTCGGAACACAAGCCGGAACGATCGAGAAGAAACTAGAGTGTCGTCAATTCTGCAATTCCAACCTGATGAAGAGAGATCGGTTCCCCGCGGAGAACTCACCCTACCTCAATCTTGATTTTCTCGAAAGGAGATTCGATCAAAGAATGGTATTTGCGAGTTACACGCGTCAGGATGGGCGAATAAGCTGAAACCGATCAGAAAGAGGGGCAAATAATTTCCTTCCCCATATCTCCGTCTCTGAGCATTCCTTGAACTCGATCTCATTCAAAACATCAGTCTTTTTGAAACCCGATCCTTCCAAGGAGCTACTGCTCCATTTTTGAAGACCTCTCTACAGAGACAGCTCGGGCCAAAGGAAAATAGTTCCGAATCATGTCGTCGGTTTCGCCTCACGTTCGATCACTCGGAGTAGAGTGATATCTATGCGCGGAAGAAAGTTCCAAAGCTCCCAGTCATCCCTTGTAGCGGTCCTCATCCTCCACGTGTCCGCGGCGAAACTTCTGTGAAGCGGTGACTGATTCGGAGAGGGGCTCGTTCGCGGCGACCTGAAACGTCGAAGTAGATAATGATCGACGTTGTCGCGTTATCTGTGGCGCTATGGTTCACCGAAAATGAGCCTCACCCAATCCTGTGCTTTCGGGTGACGGACGTCGGTTTCGGATGTTCATCCGTTCGGCGAGCTCCAAACACAGTTTGAAATCGGAAACCCGCTATCTAGTGCCTAAGCCGCGCGTCCGTATCGATATCGGGTCGCCGAAATGAGCTAAAAATTGATTCGTCTTACAGAACCGTTTTCGTTATACCACATTTGGGTGAAGGCGTATACGCAGCGGCACACCGGGGATAATTCGAACGCTGTCGAGGTGAAGACGGATGTCGCCGGGCCTTCGGCACCTCCGATCTTCAACCTGACCTGCCACAACAGTGACAGTCTCTATATCGCCTGGGGACGGCCGTCGCGGTACTACTCTCATGTCGATATGTACTATGTGCACTACCGATCAGAATATGCTTGGAGTTTCGAAGAGATCGCTATGGACGCTAGTCAGGATCCATCGCAAGAGCATCACATGCTTATCCCTAACCTAACCGCAAACACTCTGTACGAAGTCAAAGTGCAGGGTGCTACGCGATCCGTGCTTTATCACTCCAAGGTGAGCCCATTCCTGAAAGGAGATGCTCTGGGTCAGTCTCATAAAAACTCCCTGTCGCATATCGACCGGTCGGTCAGCCCGAATCTACCCGATCCCCCTGAGGAAACTCGATGGCACGTCCTCTAACTCGATTTCGTCCTTTCATTTCATCTCGTTGCAGTTGTATAAAGGCGAGTTCTCTGAATCCAGGAGAGTGATTCTGTCTGGGACAGGTGGTAGATGCCAGTCGTGGCTGGGAGGACAATACCCTTACTCTGGAGGAGTTGGGGCCGCGTTGATTGCCGGAATCGTGTGCCTCTCGTTCGCACTTCTCCTAGCCTTGGTGTCGTTCTTCTTTTGGAAAAAACACTTCCAGGCTGCTTACTACTATCTCGACGATCCAGTTCCCGGAGACAGAGCCTCGTCGACCCTCGTCCTCCTTTCGGATACATTTGAGGATGGCGACTTTAAGCCCATCGACGTCTGTCAATGGACCAAGCACGTAGCGGATCTGCATGCTGACGGCGATATCGGTTTCAGTAGGGAATACGATTCCCTGCAACAAACGTTCGAGGCCGAGCTCACGTCAGACTTTTCGCAGCTCGACGAGAATAAGCCCAAAAACAGATACGTCAACATTGTCGCCTATGACCAAACTCGGGTCACGCTCAAGCCGCTAACCGAGAAACAGAAGAGGTCGGTATCGGGACGCTGCGTTGTGCCTCCTTCGAACTCGCTCTGAATTTTCAGCGAGCCTCCCCTCAGACCACCGTCGTCATCAATATCTCACCAGCATGCCGTCCCGATAGTTGCAGGTATCCGGATTACATTAACGCAAACTACATCGACGGATATCAAAAACCCAGAGCCTATATCGGCACTCAAGGTCCCATGCCATCGACATTCGACGATTACTGGCGAATGGTGTGGGAGCAGCGTGTCCACGTTATTGTGATGATCACTAATCTGATCGAAAGGTCTAGGGTGAGTGTTTCTTCATTGATTTCTTTCTCTGCCCGTAAGAATTCCTTGAGTTCTCCTACTTGAACTCTTCTGGTCTGCGGGAGCACTAGGTAAACGATTGTACGACGGATCGAAAAAACATTAATCATGTGTGCGTGAATCGAGGAAGAGGGGGTGTCTGAGATTTGTGGGGAGTAGCATCTTTCATTCACGGTGATGGGCTTTCTTGCACCGAGTCGCGGGCTGAAACTGACGACTATCTCTCTCTGATGGTCTGCTTCAGAACTGCACCCTATCCGCGAAACAGGATGAGTTTGAGGGAAGTGTAAGTACTCTGGATCCTGGTGTTCACTCAGTGTAGACGCTTCGAGCGTTCAATTGTAGGCTTGCTGGGATTTGTCCTACTAAAAGAAAATCGAGTACACGTCCACTTTGGTTTTTGCAACAGCCCAACCATGAGAAACAAAAAAAAAGAGGCTCAGACGTCGAGAACTTGAACTGCTGCAAATTTAGCAACTGACCGCTTGTGAGAGTGCACCCCCAGAGTTGTGTTATCATCGTTCTTGTCCATTCCTTGGCTTTTTTCCGCGGTAGAACGCCACGAGCACGGTCGAATCCCGCTTTAAAACTGAAAGTTCCTTTCGACGACGTTGCAGCGCAAGTGCGATCAATACTGGCCGAGCGAAGGATCGTGCTCATACGGCCAAATCCAAGTGAAATTCGTGTCAGAAGACGTCATGTCCACGTACACCGTGCGTCAGTTCATCGTACGTCATCTCAAGCAGAAAAAAGTCGGCGAACGAACAATCGTTCAATACCACTACACCAATTGGCCAGACCACGGTGAGTGACAGACATAGAAGTCGAAGATTGAGATCTCTGAACAGAAATAGATTTGAGCGCGAGAGACAATCGACCGAGTTCGAAGACCGAAATTCGAAGGATCACGGTCGAGGTCTCGAGCACTTGAGAATGATTTCCCCTGTTCTGACGCTTTCTCTCGTTCCTCCGAACAGGTGTACCTGATCATCCGCTGCCGGTGTTGTCTTTCGTCGTGCGATCCTCGGCCGCGAATCCTCCGGGAGCAGGCCCCATTATAGTGCACTGCTCCGCAGGTGTCGGTCGTACGGGAACGTACATCGTCATCGACGCCATGCTGCGAATGATGCGTCAGAAAAAATGCATCAACGTTTACGGTTTCCTGAAGCATATCCGTAGACAGCGCAACTATCTCGTGCAAACCGAGGAACAGTACGTGTTCATCCACGACGCGTTGCTGGAAGCCATCGAGAGCGGAGCTCCAACCGAAGTGCCGGCCGGCCAGCTGCCGCGCTTCACGCAGACCCTGGCTCAACCTTCGGCCAACGGAGGATTGTCTCTGCTCGAACGTCAATTCAAACTGGTCACTGTTTTCAAAGCGAAAGACTTCAACGTTGTGTCTGCGCTGAAGAACTGCAATAAGCCGAAGAACCGCTCGCTGAACCTCCTGCCAATCGAGCACTTCCGAGTGCACATCACTGCCAAACCGGGCCAGGAGGGCAGTGATTACATCAATGCGACTTTCGTCCAGGGATTCCGACGTCTGCGAGAGTACGTCCTCACTCAACATCCGTTGGCCGACACGATCGCCGACTTCTGGCAAATGGTCTGGGACCACAACATGAAAGTGATGGTGCTGCTCTGCTGCGATCAGGACGGGAAGGAGTTCCCATCCTTTTTCCCCGCCCAAGTTGGAGCCAGCGAATCCTACGAGCAGTTCACCATCAAGCGACAGACCAACGATCGAATCATTCTGTCGCACGGCCAGGACGCCGATCACACTCAGGAGATCATGCTGCTCCATGGTAAATACGTGTGTTCGATCGTCGATCCATTATCCGATCGTGTTCTCTCGAAGATGGATTCCGATTTCGGGTCGATGAGTTCTCTTGTCCCCGCGATGGCGGCGGCGCCGGTCGATAATTTATTCTCCGAGTCGCCCGCCCCCTCCCTACCCCCGTATTCCAAGGCGCGATGGTATCAATTAAAAAATACGAATTTTCAGCTCCAACATGGCTATCGGGATGCAAGGCGCTGTTTGAGCTCTTTACATTGATCAAACAGGCCCTAGCGGCCCAAGGCGGCAGCGAGTCTCCGATTCTCGTGGTGGACCGGATCGGTGGAACCGAAGGAGCCACTTTCTGCGTACTTTCCTCACTATACCAACAGATCAATTCGCCCCTGGAACGCGCTGCAGATGTTTATCTGTACACCAAGCTGCTCCATCTGAGGCGGCCGGGCGTATGGAGATCCATACAAGACCTGCACAGTCTCTACCAGTGAGTATTCCTATTGCGGACAGTCTCGAGAAGAATTCCGCGATAATCTGAATTCGAAAAGTCGATATTGGTTCCGATCGCTGAATACGGAAATGGGTGGATTCAATATTCCCGAGAAATGTCGAGGTTATGGTCGACTCGAGCGGTCGATTCGAGTCCCACCATGGCGTGGATCGTCGCGGGCAGACCTGCGTTGATTCTTGGGAGGCGTAGCTCGCGAATTCTGACTCGGGGAGACAAAAAAAAAGATGCGATCGAAAGAATAGGCAGCGTCTACGACTCGGAGCTAACGAGGCCACTTGTAGGTGTATGTACCACGGAGTCGTACTGCACCAGGGTGCCGCGAATAGTGCCCTCGCCAGATCAGTATCGTCACAATAATCTACTAAACGAGCGAAACGAAACTCTCAAATCGAACCCGCTGGCTTTAGGCCATCGTGGCAGAACGCTGCGAACTTCTAACACAGCAACTCCTTCCAATCCAAGTAACTACCAAGCGTAGAGCATACGTGAGCTACGATTATAAGTGTAATCATTCACATGTCTCACCATGATCGGTGTATATTATGCAACACAAGCCCGAGCTTACTGGAAGCTGGGACGTGCCGCATAAAGCTCGAATCGTGCTATGCCCGCTTGCTTTTCCAACCGAAGCCCCCTTCACCCCTTTTCTCCCGGAGCGATAATAAGAGTCCCATCGTGTATAGTCGTGGTCTTCGTTGTCGTCGTTCCAGTGCTTCACGCTTAGATTAGATGTCATTCAGTTTTCCCGTCACAGTCTTTGCTCGCTGACGGGAGTCGTGACGTGCGGAGGAGATTCGTGGAACCTCAATGAGTGAGAGAGTGATGGACTTCGAGCGAGGATGGCAAAGCCAAAATAAATAGAACTCCGATTAGGCGTGCGATTAGTGCAGGGACGATTTTTTTTGCGTTCGAATTTCCCGTTCTGTTCATGGCGCCTGCGAATGGAATCCATGAGTGGTTCACTGGACCGTTCCAAACCTGCCACGTATCGTGCGTAGAGCCAGCGCTACCTGCTCACCTCTGATCGTTCCAAGAAACTCAATCTAATACGCTCCTCGTGCATTTCAGAGCATTGGAAAGTCTCGAAGCGACGCTCATACCGAATACTCCTCCCCCACCCTATAACGGACACGCAACGATACCCAATGCGAACGGTCAGGACGCCAAGCTAGCGCAAGAATGCAACGATTGCAAGCCGGAATAAGGAGCTGACGCCATCGGGGATACGTCTGTAGGAAAAAAAATCCCATTATTGTGATCGTCTCAGTTGGTGAGCGCCGGCAGGTCGCCCATGGCCTCGAGCCCGGCGACCGTAGGCTCACCTTAGATTCAATGGTTACGCTGCCAGAAAGCCTGTAGAGAGCTATCCCTCCGTGTCAGAAGCCCGATCTACAACAACTGCCGGATCCAAGCAACACGGATCTGAAGTGAGACTTCGACATCGACAGAGTTCCCCGCTAACCAGTGCATCGATTGAGGCTTCGAGAAACTCCTTCCGTCGCCTTCCCCCCGCCCCTCTCCCGCGATCCTCTCCACACCGCCGAGGGGCTCATTGTACACACCGTTTAGCCTTCGTGCATTTAGGAGTCAATGCCAATCTTCCTACTAATTGATGAACCTGAATAGGATCTCAGCTCGACAAACACAGAAAAGAAAGCTTAGAATCGAACAAAGTGGCACGAAGCCCATCGAAACTCCATAGTTTTTTTCTATTAGCCGTAGCTCGTCTCTGGAACCTGTACAATACACCGACGATTACACGCTGCTAGAGCCGAGGATGCGATAGACAGAAAGGCCTCGGAGAACAGTCAAGATCGAGAATTTAATTGATGAATTAATATATATATATACATGCATATACATTATGTATGCGACGAGGTGACTGAGGAATAGAATGTCGATATCTGTATAAAGCTTTACTAGATACCGTAAACCATTGTAAATTGACTCGGTGGGACGTCATTCGTCTCTGTTAGAGAGATCTGACCCTTAGGATTCAATCTGACAAACGTGCGCCTGACCAATGCAATCTTGCTGTGTGTCCATTCTGGACTAAGTTTTTTCATCCGATCTCTCCCACCTCTGATCGTGGAAGACAACACCCAGTCACTAATTCTCCCCCGAGATAACTCCTCCCCGAGGATCGATTGAGGAGTTATCTCGAGTTATCTTTCATTCCAAGATGACGGAACCAAAATTAATGAGCGACGGTATTAGCGCCGGATTTTTCTCCGAACTTGAACGAGCCGAAACGCGTTCAGCTTCTGCGCGGCTTCCCTCGTCGAACCCTCGCCTTTCGTAAAAGGTTCGTTCATGGTGCGCCGGAATTCCGTCTTGCCCCCTTGCGATCATCACTTTCTCGAGTTCTGTAAACGATACGTAGACCCCTTCCTTTGGAATCATGTGGGTCCGCTGGCGCGGGACGCACATGTTACTTTCACTCCCTTCGGATCAGTATTCTTCGCATTCTTATTTTATATCGTTCCATAAGGAGCGAGCTTCTGCACATCCGGCAATGGCCCGTTCAATTATTATTGCCTTTCTCCTTCCTTTCGCCACCACTCTAATCCGCCCCGTGTGAAAACGGCGTCAATCTAACCTGATTAGGGTTGCCTTGGTGCCAAAGTTTTGTTGATGGTTTCTCATTCAGAGAACGTGAAGCGAACAAGCGACGGAGCGCGTGATCTTCCCAGAAGCATACTCGACGAGACCGTCACGTGATCGAGAATACGGTGAAGGATAAGGTGATGATTGATGATTATCTACCGCTACCGATATCAACGAACGGAGAAATTCCGAGAAACAGCTCATACCCTGACGTCTTCGTCCGAATCGGTGGAGCCGGAGAAATCAGGTGTTTTTCCGAATCAATTAGAAAACGTTTTCTAGGCTTCGTCTCGAAGTGATTGCTCGGGTCGATTCGAACCTGAAGCCGAAACCTGTCTGATTGTTGTTGTATTTGAAGAAATATATCCTCGCGAGAGTCTTCTCCCCACGGATTCTCACCTCCCGTAATCGAATTTCCGGTCGTCGAAGTCTCCTCGGAGCGCATGAGCAGTTCCTTTGGTGCCAGCGCTCGAGTTGAACAAAAGTGCTGTATTGACCGGAATATTGAGGAGGAAACGATCGAATTTGGGGAGCTTGATGAAATCGATCCTTCCTTCGGGAAAGACGGAGGACTCAGTCTTTTGCTTTCGAGGATCCGCTTTTAGCGGGGAGAATGAGTCGAACTGATTTATGACAATGATACCCGTACGATGCCGAGAGGAGGAATTTTCATCTCTTCATCCGTGATGATCCGACACTAGAGGCGGGAAGCGTTAGAGATTCATCGCGTCCCAAGTACCTTTTCGGAAACTGAATCGCCGAGGAGGAATCATCACATTGAAGGACTTTTCTCAAACCTAGAACTTCATCTGACTGAGAAATGAGTCTGCAGTAAGGGGTTGGCGAAACCGCGAGACGCTTCAAGTTCACTGTTGACACTAATCGCGTTCTTGCGATCATCCACTCCTACTTTGAATGAATTTCGGAATGCTTGGAATCATCTAAAAGTCTGCTGAGAGCGATTGAGTGATGGGACCCTGGTTTCAGGAAAGCTGGTTTGCTGGGTGAGAGATGATTAGAGAAACTGTAATCGTGGTGAGCCCTGTCACCCTAGCTGAAACCAAACTAAAAGTAACAAAAAACATTTCTTACTTGACTTCTGCAATCACTGAGCGATGATCGGCTTGTCGTCTAGTCCGAGAGGGAGAACGAAAAATATGTCGGGGTCGAACAACGGCAAGGAAGTAAGTATCCGCGGAGGACTGAATTTCGCGGCGGAAGCCTCCGGTCTCAGATGCGAAGTACCTCAGGCATTCCAGTCGCGATTCGGGACTCTGTGTTCGCGAAAGAAGTGGCCCGCTAAGTTTCCGAAATTCGAAGAGACAGCGGTTTATATCTTTCTGGAACAATGGTTCGAAGATGCATCCAGATATGGAAGCACTCCAGAACTAATATGTAATAGTGTCTCGGGCCAAGTCTGCCGCTGATTGAGTAGGAAATTCCTGGGAAAATGGTGTTTGTAAATAGCAGATTCCGCGACCGAGATATTCGAAGATTCGATGAGACGACTGTCAATGAGAGTAAAATTGAGAGAAAATAGGCGGAAAAGAGCGAGCATGGAAAGAAGAAAAGCAACCCGATCGATTGCGTCTCCGATAGAGACCGGGTCCGACCTGAACGGATTTCCCGTCGAAGGACCGTTGTTGAGTACGAAGAAATTGTCCACTAAATTGGATGTGACTGACTTATTCGATAACTTTGTCCAATTATATCGACGATGATCGTGATCATCATGATACTCGATTGGAGGGAGATCGGAAACCATTAGAGGCTAAAGCGTCGAACGAGCTTCGGAGCAAATCGATAACTCGTTGAAGAAACATTCGACTTTTTCACCGACCTGCTGACATTCTTTTAACTGGTAAGCTAACAAACGAATGAACACGTCAAACAGATGACAGATGCGATACACAGCTGTTGTGGTTCATAGAGCCGCAAACCCGCTCAACTTAAACTGGAATAAATGAGTATTCAGAAAGAGTAATGTTATACCCAACAGCGACGAATTGTTTTCCTTCATGAAAGCATCCATGAGACCACGGCGTACTAGAGGTAATCCTCAGCCCAATGAAGCGTAGAATGAATGACGCCGTTCCCGTCTCGCCGGCAATCTTGTGAATCATTCGAAAGCGGGATGGTGAACTCACTTCGAGGAAAACTTCAATGACGATTTATATTACGCCGGGGGGAGGGAAGATCGGTAGGATCATTCGATAGCAACATCCGATCGCAAACCGGCTCGGGGGAGAGGGAAGGGAGCGGAACTCTCGGTCTTGAATTGCAACGATCGACATGGAGGGTGGAGGCCTTGTTGGACGTTGCACATATCTGACTGAGCATCTGCGGTCACCGATAAACTGATAGAGCAGCACGGCAGCTAATCAAGAAAGAACTTTGCCAAGCGTCGACCTATCTCCGGGGAATTCTTTTGATTCTTTTTCGAGAAAGACCAGAGTGAACAGACAGATCGTGGACTCTCGTTGCTGCTTCTGTACGGAACAAAGAGACGGGGAGGACAGGGAGTGAGAGTAGGATACTCCACGAGCCGCTTCCGCTGCCGCCGCAGTTTTTGATAACATATTCCTGGCCAACGGTTGTTCTATTCAGATACATTAGGTCGTTCAGACCGGTGAGATCATTCAGGGAATGCGAAAATATTTTCGAGGCTCGTGCAGGTGCTCTGCTGAATTGGAGGGTGGATAATAGCCAAGCGAAGTGCATCCGCTGATCTTCGAGGTAAGTCAAGCTAGCGCGAGCAATCGGGCCCGATCGATCGAGGGAGGGAATCCATATCGCTAGCTCACGCTGCACTCCACGGAGAGCCTCATTTTCCGTGAACGGACGCCATGTGAATGCCATCGGCTGTCGGCTCTGCTCGTAGAACGAAACCTATCCCTGAGCTCCGAGAAATTCACGAGGGTCAACTTATTCCTCCATGTTTGGTTGTCGGCTCTGGAGCATGAATTCTTTGGCGCCAAAATGAATTGCTTCCCCCCCCTGACGAGTGCATTAAGACTATAAGCCCATACGATAAGGGAGCCAGTTCTATGGTGAAAGAAGTGCCCATGACTGCACTGCACCTCTTGACGCTCCCAATTGCGAATCGAGTCCGCTCTATGAAACGATATCGAGGAGTGCCTGAGATGTATGTTTTCCCGAAGAAGCTCGCGAATTTTTCGTAGTGTACATTGTTCAAAAGATCGAGTGACCGTCCCGCTCCTGCGGCTTTCTCGTGTGACAAGCGAATTTCTGTAAGTAAAAGAACTGCAATCTGTTTTTTGATGCTCACAAAATAGTCGGCGAACGAGGGCGGCTTGCACTCGAGAGGAGATTGCTCCTCTCAGGGTACATATTCAGAGCCGCCCGCATCTAGACCGATGTAATATCGGATAGCGTTGTTTGAAAGTCATACTGATTCACCGAGAGAATGGAACCGTTCCGAAAGGGGGAGCTCTCCGTTCCGTCCTTTCGTTCTGACTGAGTGGTTCGGACGGAAAGTAGAGAAATTCATGTCGACAATACGACTGGGCTCGCAATCCACAGACTCTTTTCCGAGAAAGCGAGTAGAAGATGACACGTACGATACAGACAGACTCATATGTTGTGAAGCTCAGTTCTCAAGCGATCGGTCAAGCGGAATACCAATCGGAATAATTGCAGAGCCCCGCCGACTAGCAGCAACCCCTGCGAGATCAAGGAGCATCTACGAGAGCACGATGAGCGAGAACATGCAGGTTTACGAACTCTCTTGCGCCAGGAACAACAACCCGGTAAAATTTATCGGTGAGTGCAATATCCACACGTGATCGATATCTCTACGGATCAGGAAGCGTCGGAGATTCCTCATCTTTATTCGAGCCTCGACAGTGATATCGAAACGAATATTTCCCCCTGCAGGTGTGGGATGGATCCCCGCATCCCTCGGGGTGTGCATCGCGGCCGCTGGTCTCCTGTCCTTCGTGTGGGCGGTACTGTCTGGAGACGTCACCGTATACGTGCCGTTCATAAGGTCTGTCGCAATTGAATCTCTTCGCTCGTCTCCGGCACTCGAATCGATTCCGCAATGAATTTGAGACAGACTGCCGCGTAACGGGATGAAATCCTAACCCATGCTTCTCCTTCTCTCCTTGCTTATCAAAACAGCGAGGCCGGCGCCGATCCTCCGCAGAGCGGTTTCTTTTCATTGATGATCTCCGTATCGTGTGTCTGGTCGGGCGTCACGATCGTCATACGATACTCGATCGTGAGACAGCTTCTTCGTTTCAATCGCGGAGAACTGATTAATTCGATCTCATTAGTCGTGGGCTTCCTCTCAGTTCTGGGTCTCTCCCTGGTATCAGCCTTCCCGGTGAGCTTCGGATAAGCGGAAAACAGAAAAATGAACAACACGCATTGTGCCACCAAGGAAATTAAATCGCGAACAAACGAGCTGGAAACGATCTCATAGCCTTCGATTTCCAGCTGACTTCGGCGAACATCATCCATGATATCGGCGCGGCATCGATGTTCGTTCTTGGAGTGACATATTGCTTTCTGCAAAGTCTGCTGTCAGCGTGGATGTACCCTTGGCACAACGGAAGGGTTATCGTTTTCTATCGTTCGAGCATCACCCTGATCGCCACCGCTGCCGCGCTTATCAGTGAGTGTCAAACACATTAGGAATTCATTGCAACTTTTCACCCCTATCTTCCTTCGGATCGATGATTTTCGCGCGATTAGCATAAAATTGTCACACTGTCACAAGACGACTTTATCCCATGCGGTATTTCAGCGGCGATTTGTCAATTCAAAGCCAAACAGCTGTGGGCAGCATCAGGGATCGATAAGCCCGACGACATGCGGCTCCCTGGCGATCCGGTGAGTTCATTCGCTCTTGATTGATTCTATTCCGTCAGGATCCATCCCGCCTCCGAGGCAGCGAGGACTCCGTTTCTTGAATCAGATCGCACAGACAAGGACCTCGAGTCTCTCTCGTGGTGGAGACGTTTCGCATTGGTCTCGAGAACATATTCCTAAAGGAGGTGACAGTCTCTGTGACGGTGCGGAAGCGAACTTTGAATGACATGCGAGAACGCTGACGCTCGATTACGCCAAGCGACGTGATGCGATGGTCATCCGACTCTCTAGAAAAGTCTCATGACTTACCGATTCGCGAGAGGACCTCCAACAAAGCTGTAACCCTCCGGAACAGCTGACTCCAGCTCGTGTTTCCGTCGGCAGAACGCTTGAAGGGCGCACATATGCCCCATCGCAATGATAGTATCAGCGAACGATCTCGCATGAGTTCCGACCCTCGGGTCTCGGGAACTTGTTTCGAGGAGACCAGTCTCGAAAACCTCTGAGACTCCCCCCATTCCCGTTTCGCTCCGACGGTTTTGCGGTCTGCGACATTATCGATCGTATCACAGGACGATTCGTGGCGAGAATTCTTGAGCCCTGCGCATCGCTGAGCTCTCCATGCGCTCGACGGATTGGAATGGGAGCCGTATCGCACGGGACACTAAATGATTTCTCTGGAATCTTTCAGGCGTTCTTTTGGTTCACGGCTGCCGCGATCGCTGAATGGACCACCGTAGTGATGTTCATCGCCTACTTCTTCAGCTACATCCGAGAGTTCAACAAAGTTGTCATCGAACTCGATACGTACCCACTGGTTGACCACTTCGATGATGATATCGAAATCCATTTCCCGGCATCAGAGCATACACCCCTCTATAAATCCGTTCTGTAAAAATAGCGACTCGAGTCAAGCTCCAGACGAGTCCAGCGGTAGACCATTTCGACGTGAATTTCGAAACGCGTTCTAGCGCACCGGTTACACGGTCGGCATAAGCTACTCCTCAAGTCCGTTTTGTGAAAAGCGAATAGACAGATGATTTTGAGAGTGGTCCCATTGAAGTGTATATATTTTTTGTGATAAATAAATTCAGGGTCGTGCTCCGAAACCTTCCATTGCCATTGAACCGGGGATCCAATGCGCAACAATGGTTCTCACAGTTCTCCTCTTCATCCAATATTTGCGTAAGACAGACTGACAGCCCTGCTCCCCCCTCAGAATTGCGAGGTAATTTGTGGTAATCCGCAAGACAGACACTCGCCTCGATTTTTTTCTCAACTTCGACGTGAGCTCACTCCGGAGGTTCCGAGAAAGGCTGATCCCTTGGATAATCCGCCGTGAAAAAAATGATTTGCATTCGATAGTCTCCGCCAGGTATCACGGAACAGTTTATTTTTTGTTCCCACCGTAAAACAGCAAGAAATGCGCTTTTATTAGCTGACATTATCTGAATGATTGTGTCCAGACCTATTTGTCGCGCCACTAGGTAGCTAGCTCCTTTCGCACCGATCAGCCGCTACTTAGAATGCCAGACGCGTCCGTTCTATGAGCGACCTACTATCAGACACGTACGTCAGCGTCAATGGGTACACGCCGAGCCCCAGGCCTTAGTTCACCGCGCATTCGCGTCGCGGTCGTAACTCAACCCCCTCTTTCGTTCCTCTTTCAATCAATGCCGAAGTTTGGCATTCTGGACGAACGAGTGTTCAATATAAAAGCGCGGTGGAACCCTCGATCGACGAATATCGAATAGTGAGCTCATCATGAAGATCGTAAGAGGACGAGTCCCTACAGTGATCTATCTGAAGTCATTCTGCAATGCATTCACGACTCGATAAACATTTCGCCCTCAATAATTTATTTCAGTTAGCGATCCTAGCTGCCTTCCTGTACTCGGCCTATGCTGGCCATCTCGGCGGCGGCGAACTCGCCTTCGGAGGTGTCGTCGGTACAGCAAAAATCGCTAGGGTGTCTTACGTGAAACAGCCCGTCATCTCGACCGCTTACGTCAAACAACCCGTCGTATCGTATGTGGCTCGACCTGTGAAAACGGTTTCGTTTGTTGCCAAGCCCGTTGTGTCAGTGTCTCACGCTCCTGTGATAGCGGTCAGCAGCTTCGGAAGCTCTTCTGGTGGTCACGGGAGCGGTTGGTGGTGAACTCGTGACCGGGGCGGCTGGGTGCTCCGAGTTTCTTGTGAATACTGCCTATGTACATTCCGCGCGGGGCAGGTCAGCCTCTTCGAGGTGCAATGTGGAGTTAAGAGAGAAAGAATAAATATGCGTAACCGAAGCTCTTTTGACCTCATGTACGGCAGGAAATCGACGGTGACCTTCCCTGAGGACGGGGAAACCTGAGGGAGAATCCCTGGCGTGCGAAAGAAGATTTCCTCCTCCGAGAGAACCTCTCCTCGCCTGTTGCATAAGAGCGCACCAAATCCATGTGGTAGTGCGGAAGTGTAGAATTTTCGTGATTCGGGTGGGAATTCTACGGTCCGACCATGACGGCGAGCATTCTTAAGAGCAAGCCGGCGTGCTCGTCTGAAACTTCTCGTCATATATAACGGGAACGAATGGAGTGATGAATTATTTGATACCGACAACGAAATCAACCCCCTCATTGAACAAACCTCTATGACCTTATGACGACCATTGTTTCTGCAATTTTTCTGACAATCTCCCTCGGGTTATCGGTGTACCGCGGACAGAATGCCTTGCGTGGGGCGGGATTCCTCCAAAGACTCGGTTCACTCGATCTAGCCAAGCAAGTCCTCGCCATATTCGCCATCGAGGGTTTGGTCGAAGAATTGATCGAACTGGTCTCCGGAGGAGCGCTACGTGGGGCCGGAATTTCCGAAGCTTTCTGGAAGCTGTTCCCGAGAGCAGCCGCGACAGCGTCGAGCGGAGGCGTGCAGCGATATCAGGGACCTCAGAACCAAGAAGATGCAGGAGGGACCGGAAATAGAACGCAGGAGCCGAAGCCCTCAGAAGGGGGAGGGAAACCGAAAGAGCCCATGGTGAGCTACAGGTTCTTCGGAGCCGTCGGAAGCTGTCCGCTTTCGGAGATCAGGGACCGCATCAAACTCCGGAGTCCAGTTTCGGTTCAACGACCTGCTGGGGAAGCGCAGCTCATGCACATAGAGGACTTGCTGAAGGTTTTCAGAGACTCGATGATCAAGCAAAACTCTGTTTTCGTAATTGACGAACAAGAGAAAATCATGCCGCTCTCGACGGCCATTCAGAAGTTCAATGCGGCCAGTCGCTTTTTGCAGCAAATCGCTCTCGACCCGGAGAAGAAGCCCAGAATCGAAGAGGCTTCAGATGATGACGGGATGGTGAAGATGCGCTTCAAAGATGCAGATCTCCCCCCTTTGAAGAAACCTAAAGAAGAGGCCGAGAATCTCTCTAAGCTCGCCACCCTCATGAGGAAAGGATTCAAAGTCCGGGACGGGAACGGGAAGAGAAGAATGAATCTCGAACAGCTCAATGCGCGTTACGAGAATTGCATGAACTATGTCTCGACAGGCAGACTCTGGCTCCCCCTCACGTCTGAGCGCATCGATGCCTTCATGTCGCAATATCCCCATGTCAGCCACAATAAGAAGTGGTGGCTTGCGACACCCGAGATTCTCGATTGGATCGAGTCTGGTTCGAATCAGCTCCCTGAAGAGAAGAGGGTGGAGCCGAAGAAGGAGGAGGCGCAGAAGGAGGACCCGAAGGGCGAGGAACCGAAGAAGGAGGAACCGGAGGGCGAGAAACCGAAGAAGGAGGACCCGAAGGGCGAGAAACCGAAGGAGGAGGAATCGGCGGTGGTGGAACTGAAGCTAGAGGAACCGGAGGCCAAGCAGCCAAAGAAAGACGAATCGATGATGAAAGAAGCCGTGGGGGCCCCCGTCGATGCCGGTCAACCTCACGCGAAAGCGATCCCCTTCCCCCCAACGCAAGTGAAAGATGATGCGGGACGAAGAAAAAAATCCAGATTCGGAAAGAAAAAATTGAAGAAATCAAAGAAAAAATCGATGTCAGCAGGGAACGAGTCGAAGTTGTCGCGCAAGAAGTCGGAGTCGTCGCGCAAGAAGTCGAAGTCGTCGCGCAAGAAGTCAAAGTCGTCGCGCAAGAAGTCAAGATCGTCGCGCAAGAAGTCGAAGTCGTCGCGCAAGAAGTCGAAGTCGTCGGGCAGGAAGTCAAAGTCGTCGGGCAGGAAGTCAAAGTCGACGGGCAGGAAGTTAAGGTCTTCAGGCAGGGAATCAAAGTCGTCGCGCAAGAAGTCGAAGTCATCGGGCAAGAAGTCAAGGTCGTCGGGCAGGAAGTCAAAGTCGACGGGCAGGAAGTCAAGGTCTTCTGGCAGGGAGTCAAAGTCGTCGGACAGGAAGTCGCAGAAATCAGGCAAGAGGTCGAAAAACTCAGGAAAGAAGTCGAAGTCATCCGGAAAGAGGTCGAAGTCATTAGGCAAGAAATCGAAGTCGTCAGGCAAGGGGTCGAAGTCCTCGGGGAAAAGATCGGATGCGGCTGCCAAGAAGTCGAGGAAGATAGGCAAGGAGTCCAAAACGACGGAGAAGAGATCGAAGAAGGCACAGAAGATGTCGAAAAAGGCGGACAAGCAATCGAGAAAGGCTGATGAGAGGGCGAAAAAAGCTGAGAAGAGATCGAAAAGGGCTGAGAAAAGATCGAAACGGGCTGACAAGAGATCGAAAAGAGCTGAGAAGAGATCGAGGAAGACGGACAAGTCATTGAAGAACGCAGACAGGAAGCTGAAGAAGGCAGACAAGAAGTTGAAGGAGGCAGACGAAAAGTCGAAGATCGCAGACGAAAAGTCGAAGAACGCAGACGAAAAGTCGAAGAAGGCAGGCAAGAAATCACAAAGCGGATCAAAATCGCAGAGCCAGAAGAGCCGGAAGAAATCGAGGGGATCAAGGGAATCGAAGCGTTCAAAAGCCTCGGAGCGATAGAAAGTTTCGAAATACTCCGGTCATCGGGGGGTGTTTCCGCATTCCTGTGAGCATGAGTCTCCCCGACTGATAAGAGCCGAAGAATTGGAGAGTGCACCGAGACCCTGTACGGCTCGCTCTCTCTCCCCACAAAAACGCAATCCCTTTCTTAGCCTCCGCTCGGCGAGTTTCTAGGTAGTTTCCGATCGAATTGAGAAAATCTGGGGAATGTCCGTCTGTCTCTAGAATGCTCAGCGCTGCAACAGGGCTCGTCTCCGGCACCTTTCTTTAGAGAAATTATCGAATTTTCCTGAGAGACTCTCGGCTTTCACAAAAAAATGCAGAGCGAGCGATTTTCGATACAACGCTAAAAACCCCATCAGGATAAGCGGGCTATTCGCTCAGCAGCCCCGAGTGCTGCTCGTCAGGCAAAGATCACTCCCATCATCTCGAGCGGAGGCTCGCTCTCGCCGCGGTGGTGAGTGCAGAAAACAAAACAGAGTGTAAAGAGTCCGAAGCCCGCAGTGTCCGAAGCCTGGAATGTGCGAAGCCAGAAGTTCCGGAAAAGTATGAAACTTGCGTGCAGGAAGTGTCAGTGAGTCGTGACCGGACATTCCTAAGTCGCTCTGCTAATGACTCAGTCAATGCAAGATTTCGGTGTTCCTGAATCTTCGCTCTCCGGAGCCGACTGAGTGATCCTGACTATATGAGACGGTCCGGAATAGCATTCTTCTCAAGGATTGAACACTGAAGACCAGGAACGAAAATGTAAGATCCCGCGAAACGATTTTTCCATCCATGTTCGCCTAATTCGATCACGAGCGCTTCTCGGTGTGATGAATGTTTGCTGAAAGTGTCGACTCGATTCGAACCTAACTCATAGTTCCGTTGAATCCCATGGATCAATAAAACCATGACACAGTTCTCCCCTGGAGATTTCCCTAATGAGACTCCGTAGACTTAACTCTGAAGTGAAACCCGATTTTCTCTTTGCAGGACTGGGCTCCTGGATCTGCCCGACGAAGTCCTGGAAATCATTGCGGGCTTGATGGACGCACCGACGCTCGCTGCCTTCAGCAGAGCTAATTATCGTTTCCTATACATCGCAGCGCGGTGCACCGAACGGCTGAGAGTTCCTTACGTCAATCGATACTTGAAAGAGCTGCTCAGGAACAGAGTAACGACCGTCCGCTCCTTGGATTTCTCGAGTTGCATGTCCCCCCCAGTGAGAATCCTTTCCGTGATCGCGAGATGTCCACATCTGAAGGAACTCCATGTCGTGAACTGCGATATCAGTCTCGTTCAGCTGAGAGACCTCCTGAAGCATCTCAAAGAGCTCGAAACGCTGAGCTTCAGTTGTATCGACCCATCTAAGTACGCCTCGGTTTCCCGTCACACGCTCATGGATCTTTGTCATCCACGCCACTCAAAACTCTACCCGACCGTGACATCGCTCCGCCATGTGTACATAGAGACGTGGCCCGGTTCCATGCCCATGATGCTCATCTTCCAGTTCCTGGACAGATGCTCGAACCTGGAGAGTTTGCATTTGAATTTCATCGGACTCCGGTCCACCGTGACCAGTGTGGCAGACAGAGAAGTCAGACCACTTCCCTCGGCGTCGCGGAACTTCGGTCGTTTGAAGAAAATCGTGGTTTCCTGCCATCAGTGCCATGGACTCCTCCTACCCTCACTCCTCCAAGGTTTATTCGTGTCGCATCTAGACTTAGAGCAACTGAATCCGTGGAGACGAATGGATTTAGCGTGCTACATCTACGAGAACGCGAACTTCAATTCGTCTAATCCAGTTATTGCGAATCCCGACGAGCCACCGAATCTTCTCAGGGACGCGTATCATGTTCGTTTCGAATGTGCGGCCGAGAGCCACATGAATTTCCCATGGGGTACGCCACGCGGCCTGAAAATCGATTGCAAATCGCCGGAAGCGGCGCAGCGAGCGGCGAATTTCTTCCAGAGCCCGGTTGCGTGGTCGGGCGATCTGGTCGAGCTCGACCTCACCGAATGTCACGGAGAACTACCTCGGGGAGATTGGTCGAATTTGATCAATTCGGCGCCTAACCTGACCGCCCTCGCACTGCCTCATTGCTTCTTCCCGCTGCATCAAGGATTGGAACCGCTGGAATCCGCTCATTCGAACTCGGTCCATAAGCCGAAGCGGCAACGATCAGGATGGAACCTCCTGGCGTACCTGAAGACACTCAAGCTCAAGCAGCTCGTCGTAAGTGGTGAATGCGCCCACAATTGCGGCTACACCCGACTGCCATTGACCTCGCAGACGCTGAGCGATGTGTGCGACTTCAAGCACCTTGAGGAGCTGACCGTGCGAAACATTGATGCGTCTCCATCGATTTTCGCATCTTTGGCGAATGCGAATGTTCGCGTCGTGCGACTCTGCTTGAAGGGGATGCCCACAGTAGCCGGTCTCAAAGGGTTCATTCGGAAATGCGTGAAGCTGAAGTACTTCAAGATCGAAACGCCATCGCTGCAGTTGAGTTCTCATCTACTCTGGGACGCCCTTGCTCAAGGCGAATCGCTCGAAGAAATCTGCCTCTCTTCTTCGTCGCAAGATAAAGTCGACATATCTGTGATCATGAAATACCTGCCAGTGATAATTCAGAGAATACGTGTGCTGCACGTCCATGCCTGCCGCGCCAACAATCGTATGGTGCTGAACAAGGCAATCAACGAATACGTGAAAGAGTACGCGCTAACTCATCATCGTGAGATTCGATTTGAATCAGTCATGACCCTTTCGATGAGTGACCCAAAGAACCAGACATTCCCCACCTTTCTACCTGGTCGAAACCTCTGCTGCGTTTCGAATTACATCGCCAAAATAAAACCCGTCGGTTGGGGCTTCCCATAACTTACTACATCTAGAATATCCCCCTCATCCGACGCATAGAATTCCAAGCTCTCAATTCGCGTTATCTGGTTCCGTGGAAGTCAAAATCCTCGACTCTTGACCATTTAATCACTGTACAAAGGACTTCCCGGCCGCGGTTCGGGAATTTTCTAATCCATGTTTCAAATGATCGAGTCGAGCTCCTGGTCGGTTCGAATCGGAGACTTTTTCTCCATTCAGTTGGGGGGAGTCCCCTGGAGATGGGGGATCTCTCTATGTGACGCGTGAATAAAAGTTTGTAGATTTTGAACGAGGTGAAATCTCTGATGGAAATAAGTAATGCGGAGACGTCATTAGTCTGCGAATCAACGGGAAGAAAAAATGATAAGTCTTGAGGACGCTTCGAGCATGGCATGCGTACCTCAGCGTCGGATAGCTCTCCAGATAGCAACTACTCGCAATGAAATTCATTGAATTAATGTATGGAGACGTGAATGATTCGGTCCGTATAACTTATAATAAATGATGAATCATGAATACATTCCCGTCAGTGCGCAATAGGATGGCTTTCATCGCAGCCCTTATTGAAGACATATATGACGCGTCTCGTTCATGGCTCGTTGCTCGTGAACGGGCTCCATGAATGTTTTCTCGGTGTTTTCTGTCTGGTTCCGGAGTTTTCAGGAAGCAACTAAGGGGGAGTCCCCATTCCGATGATCGATGTATAGCGCAGCGACGTCTATGACCGAATTGATGAAGATAACAAACTGACACTCGGTCTCGAGTTCAATCATCGTCTTTTAGGTCCAGCAGAAGCTTCTCGTCTAGATTAGCCACGTATCTTATGATAGGTATTGTGTACTTCGTCTCTTTAGGACCATCTTTATGTGTTTCGAGTCTCTCTTGATCAAGAGCGAGTCTGCGATACAACAAGCGGACCATGTCGTCGATCTGATCTTGATCAGATCCCCCTTGGCGGCCGATGGGCTCGAACCGTTCCGGAACAGATCGATCATCGTCTTCTGGCCACCATATGTCCATGATTTTCTCAATTTCTCTCCACGACTTGCCCTCAGATCTCAGCTTCCGGATCTCGCTGAGGTATTTCTGCAGGAGTTCCTCATCCAACAAGGATTCTGTGTCGACATCAGCTGATTGAGACATACCGACCAAAGAGAGCGCGAAGCAAGCCATGAAAATCCACGATAATGATGTCATGGCGGTCGAGCTTCACCGGCGGAATCCTCCTGGAATTCTCGCTCAGAATGAGCTTCGTTCTCGCTGTGTGATATCGGCGAAAAACCTGTGTAATGATGGAGGTTCCTCTTCGGCGATTGTGGCGAGACGAGTGATTTGTAGTTCCGAACCGATACATGGAGTTTGAGACATTCGATCTATATAACAGTTTGATCACTCGTGTTCACGGTTGCTTGAAGTTGTCATGGCCACTCAACCCTTGGCCAAGCTGCAAGACTCTAGCGGGTTCCCATGCTCCGTGAAATACAGGAGCCTCGATATGATCGTCGAGAGCCCTCCGACTCCGAGGCTGACCTCAAAACCCACGTCAAGGTCAGCGGTCTTGCTCCTACCGAAACTGTTCGGAGTCACCCGATATGTTCCCCAACTATGCTCCTCCTATTCTTCGAATTTCGCAGGCAGTGTATAAATCCGGCGACAGGGTCCCAAGGCAGACCATGCAAGACGAGGAATTTGGAATCTCTTGTCTCCAGCTCCCTTGAAATTTCGCCGCTGCTCGCCCTATCGTCCTACGAGAGTTCGCATGGCAGCCTCCCAGCCACCGCACCGCAGCCGAGAACCTACGGCATCGATAGTTTCTCAGGTCGATCTTCGCCCCCCACTGTGTCCACAATGTTCTCATGTCATTCCACGTTGTCCGCCTTGGCTCGTGAGGAATTTATTTCCGAATCCTCTCCCGGCGGCTCCGCCGCTCTTCGCCAGACACGCGAGCAATCTAATGAGGCACAGGACATCACACACAGGATCGAACTTAGTCTGCATCAGGAAGAGCAAACCCTTCTTCAACGCGGAGCCCTCCCTTATCGTTCACAATCATCACAACTTCACCAACCTCGGTACGACCCTCGGCTCCCTCAGGAAATTCGACGGCGTTCGCTGAAGACTTCCGAATCCTCTGATCCTTTTCCGAAGCGGTGATAATCGCGAATCTGAATTCACTCTTAGATCAACTTGAGGAGGATCGAGGAGGAATTACCTCGGATCGAATCATCCTCCACGGTGAGAGCCTCGACAATTTATCCCGCTCGGGGCACGACGCCGTTTCGCGGGAATGATTCCACATTCCGCGCTGGCTATCGGGTGCAAGGCGATAGGTATATTCCTTTTTGAAATGTCCTATCGATGCTCAGAACGACCGCGGGAATATATAGAATCTGGGAGGTATAACCAAGAGTTCAAGCGAAGCTTCGCCAGGTGAGACATAGGACCGTTTCCGTCAAAAAGAATGAGACCACGTTCATCGAATTCTTCGCCGTTGACCCGCAAAGAGAACGAGCACCTCATTCGGAGAGATAATGTAATGTCCCGCCGTCACATTTTCGCCGAATATTCCAAACAGATATCGGCAGACTCCCCAGTACTTTTCCTGCATGCCACCCACGATACCACCCTAGCCGTGGAAGACGCCTTGGAACTGTTCTCGCTGTGCAAGAGATGCTATGGAACCCCTCTGCTTGGATGGGCGCGGATCTACAGGAAAATGAAGCTCGTTCATGAAGAAAAGCTCCGTTCGTGCGTGATGTTATCTCCCAGCCCCTAGCCTTTGGGTGTTTCCCAACCGTGATTTCCATCAGAGAAACTGGCCTTCTCGAAGGCTGTTCCAAAGTAGGACCTCCAATCTCCCAAGGTCCCGAATCCTATCCCGATCCGTCGGATTCGCCCAAGGGATGCGGGGTTCATCTCAAGTCAGCCGTACTGACCGCTGAGGAGACCGCAATGACAATGACAGCGAGAAGACATGAGCTCCATTGAATTTTCATTCCTAGAAGCGGAAACTACTCCAATGATTGACTCATCCCAATGCTCCCGGCCGATGCTGCGTCTGGACGAGCGTATCGTTTGAGCCGGAGAGTAATGATACTGACTGTGGGGCAAGACAGAAAAATGGCTCAAGTCCTTACGGATCACAAGGTTTTGTTTTTCATTTACGATACTCTGCAAGATAAGCCGCAGTTTCCCACAAGAATTCTCCATATCTTTAAGTTTAGTTGTCTTAATGTTTCATGCGAAATAGGTACGAGTACTTCCTATCGGAAGCGGTAGGTGTTTTGTCACAAAGAATTTGAAAGCGGGCGGTAGAGCGTCCATCTGTTCCCGTGGGACACATCTCGCTGCAAGACATTCGAGCCTGGAAAGCTTCGAGCCGAAATTTTGTCGCGAAACATCCGTCGCGCCGAGACTGCAACAGGCGTATGCCTTGAGTTTGTTCGTGAAGGAGTCACTCCATCGATGCGTCATGAGTCTGTTGAGCACTGTCGGCCTGGGCTCGGCGTTTTGCGAGTTCGGGCGTACCTCATCCAAGATCCATCGCGGTGTTCCTTTCATCTCCAAGGATTTCTCGATCCTCCGGAATAGAGTGTAATGGGAATCCAAAGTGACCATGGGCGACGCTCCCATATCTAGAAGCTTCACTAAGATCTTCTCTTCGATCTTGCACGTGTAGTTGCCGAAATGTTTACTTAAGGTATATATGGCTTCCGCGATGATGCTGAGAAAGAGACTCGCCGCCGTGGCGGGCACATCCTTCGGTTCGTTCAGGAGTGTGATGAAGACGCATGGCAGCAAGCGATACACACAGCCCGGTCCTGCTTCCTTGCAGAGCAGCAGCATCCCCTCCCAGGGCGGTATCTTTCTCGAAACGGCCGATTCGACTGTTCGCACCAGGGTCAAATTAATGTGCTCCCTCAAAAAGCTCGCCGGGTCCACGAAAGAGAGACGCGAGCGCAAGTAGGCCATTTCCGTCAAGGATCGGCAACTTGCGAAAATCCATACGTTTCGAGGACTGAGCTCTCCGTATTCGGAACTCGACGGACCGTAGCGCTCACAGATTTGCATGATCATGATAAATTGAACGATGAGCTCAACGAAATCTCGTCTAAGGGCCGACTTTTCCATGTACTCGATCTCTGGTATAGTCGAGAACAGATTCTCGTTCGAGATACGTTTCGCGTGTTCGACCACCAGGGGGAACTCCTCCATATCGAGGGCTTCTCGGAAGTACTTGAGCCTTCCTCTTTCGAGGACCAAGCCCTCTCGGAACGAACTAATTTGGTTTCTAAGCACACCGATGACCGACGAAATAGTCTTCAGAACTCGATGAGGCATCCCCCTCGACTCGGCCCCTTTCGTTCTGAAAAAAGAGTAAGCATATGTTGAGAGAGGCTCACGGTTCGATGAGAACCTGGGAGATTGTTCGTGTAACTCCATTTGAATCCTTCAAGGATCCGCCGGAGGGAAGTAGATCTTGCACCTGGTAGGCATGACTGCGGCGTGGAAATCTCGGTGTAATCAGTCTCGACCTCTTTGGGATGCTTCACCAGTACTGCCTCTCTGCCTGACGAGCTTGGGCGGAGATCTGGATCAGTCTCTTCGGGGCAAGTGAGTCTGTGGGTAGCCGCTAATTATCATGAGACATCGGTAATTTTTCTGGCGAAGCGACCGATATCCCTGAGAGCTCCTGGCTCACTCACCTTGTAGAAAATGAGCTTGGGAGACTTTCACTGCACTGCACACCGAGGTTCTGAGAGCGCTGTTTTACTTATTTCCTGGAGATCGCCGGTCTGGAGGGGAGCTCGTATTGGGTACAGGTCTGCCCATCGGATGAAACGGCTCGTCTTCGTGCGAATATTTTGGAACCCTTCGACGTCACAATCAGATCGCTTCATGCATATGCGCGAGTCACGGAACGAGATGCCGCAGCATGCTCAGAATGGAGACTTATGTATATTCGCGACGATATCACACCCCGTGCATCCCGGTAGAGACTCTGCGCCGGTCAGTACCTCCTCCAAATGGAAGCCTTCGGAAATCTTCTCCCTGCGGAAATTCGCCGAGTGTTCGCCGATCTTGTGCGAGACCTTGTGCTAACGGAATCTCTCTTGCGTCTCATCCCCGGCATGTCACGAGTGTGACTCTATCATTTTCTCCTTTCGCCCTTCGGTGGCTTTTTCCATCTTCCATTCCTATCGCCGGAGCTATGTGGATCCTCGATTCCGACGAGCCCCGAGTCCATCTGATCATGTCTCCTCGTTCCGAACGTTTACAATATTTTGCTCCCGAAGTCACTTCGTTAGCCATGGTCTGGTATCTATCTACTCCAGAGAGCTCGTTGAGTCGGGATCATCCAACGATAGAAAGTTAGGGTCGCAGAAATCAGCCGAGATTTCAGCGCTTTGCGCCTTCTCGCAAGAGGATTTCCGACGGATGGAATTCCGGTCCTGATCTACCATAAACTATGCTGGCTAAGAGAGGGTGATTCGCGAAGGTTTTTTCCGGTCCTCTAAGAACTCTACATCCGTCACAACGAATGGACGGTCGAAATTCACTAGCTTCCCATATCTTCCGGACAAAGATTGAGTCCCCTATCGCAATTTGAGGAACCTTCCCACAAAGGCTCCTCTCGGTTGAGAGCAGGGAGGAAGCAAAATCCTGGATGATTTCCGTTTACCGCGTTGTCAATCGGACATTGAGAGTAAGCGGGTGGAATGTCAACACGCTGCCCATACGTGCGCTCATGCTCTTTGCTCAGGCCGCGAAAGACCTCGTGATCTTCGTAGCTTTTGCTGTCGACCTCGCGCAACTGTGAAAGGCCGCATGGATGCAGCTGCCGGACAGAAGGAGATGGTCTCACGGGACTCGACTTGCTGCCGAGCTTCTTGCATGGTTTGACGGAATTTCTTGACGATTCGAAGACGAAAGCGACTCCGCTGGAGAGAGAACCATGCGACAAGCAAGCCGATCGAGGGAGGAGATCCGGAGCCGGCTTCAGGAGAGAGGAGTATCGATTTTATAATTGTTCAGAAATCCATGCCCGAGAAAACTCGAATTCATGCCTCATTGCCGGCTCCCCAGATCGGAGTATCCTCGCAAGGTTCATGAATCGCCCCTTCTCATAATCTCTACTACTCGATCACCCCGCTGAGCTTCATTCTCAGACGGGGTTGATTATGAGAGATTATTATTGACGAGCCGGGAGGGCGCTCCGCGCCCTCGCGGCTCAATTGCCCGCACGCCGGATGCGATTCTATCCAAGGCCCGAGCGAGTTTGTCGAGTGATTACGACGGAAAGCGTGATACCGATTCGCAATGAATGAGTACGACACCAAAGAGCATGAACACATGAATTAGCATGAGAAAAATGATGCGATGCTTTCGCAGGCCTGAACGAATTTGTCGTGAGTAATCGGCAGTTATTGTTCTGAGGAATATCTGATATGGAGATTCCCTTTGTCCGATGTATGCCTATCTGATATCTGAATGATAGCACGACGCATGAGCATTCACAACTGTGCTTACAGTTTGGAATCTCTATTCACGGGTCGATTCGCGGGCGAATTGAAGCAACGCCTCCGACTTATCTTGGGCATGGCGAATTCAATGAGGAGACCTCTGAGCCTCGTGACGAAACTCCACAGATCACAAAAAAACACTGCTTAGGTCTCTCGTACTTGTCACTGAATCTCTCGAAGAATGTAGGCAAACCGCGCGTGAGTCCCAAAGTTCTTTTTGTCGAAGATGTTCACGACAGAAAACTCTGATTGGAGTTCAAAAAGATATATGGATGCAGAGTCGGACTCTCCCATCGCTCCCATGGAGCAGGAGAAATGATTGCACAGTAATGAAACAGGTGAAATATATGGGCATCGCTTATCAGATACGCTGAAGAATTATAGAAGAAATTTTGGAAAGCATTATGTTCGATCTCGTAGCTCTCGATTCTCCTCTGATGATCGAGTGGAGAACCCCGATATTTGGTTCAATGCCGGACCGATATTACTGCTTTATTCTATAGGGGGAGAAATTATCATTATCAAATTAGATCATGCTGAAATTAGTAGGCTGCTGCGACGTCTCTCGAATCGCGCGCCTTGCCGGAACGGTCGTGGCATCATGTGTAGAGGAGTGGTGGAGAGGATTTCGTTTCCAGCGAACACTGGAGAAAAACTTGATAATTTTCCGGAATAACTCGAGAACGATGCGATTGATCGAGTGGAAAAGTACTTCTTACGCTAGCGGGAATGATTCGGCATCGAGTCAAAGTAACTTGAAGTCTTTTGACAGACAAATAACCCCGATATTTGGTACAATGACGGACCGACATTACTGCTTTATTCTATAGGGGGATGGTCGAGGTCCTTCAGGTCAATGAGCTGGGTCTGCGGCGAGGGTGGAGACGACCAAGCAGAGCTCGAGGTTCGATCGAAAAGAGCTCATCGAGAGAATATCAGAAAATGAGCATTCTTCGGCGTGCACTTCTCCACAGACCGATATTCCCCGAGAGAATGGGATGAAAATCGGCAGCGAGGAATCTCTCGGGTGCCTCTCGGATCTCGGGATCGGAATCGGAAGGTGTCAAAAGAGAGCTGATTCGGCAGATATGCGTATCTATGAATATCTGCGGCATTCGGCTATGGGTGATTCACCGACCCGAGCCAGGTGATTCCAGAACGACGGGCGAGACGACTCCCCGTTCGCTGCTCTCTCCGATTGTATTCTCAAAGGACAGATGTGTCTTGCTACGCCTAGAATGGATGGACAACGATGTCCGCATCATATTACGAAATGGCGAAGAGCATGCAAAATCTTGGATTTGTTCTGCTGTCCACCGTGTCTACCTTGTATGATCAACAAGATAGCGTTTCATCCACCGGAGCCAGCGTACTACAAATCCGTTCCGATCGAGCCTAGGGCATCTCACGCTCTCCCAGAGGGCCGGAGCAGGCAAATGCGAATGGTCCTCGAAGATTCTACGCACACCGAGGTTCCAGAAACACACTTGTACGTCGATATGAAAATCGGTCTGTGCAGGACACGACGCATTGCTGTCACGTACTGGAATCTCCCGCAACCATCCGAACTCATCATACTGCACAGTCACGTGAACGCAGCAGATCTCGGGGGTATTTACGATTACATGGTCTACCTTCGGACCAGACTACGGTGTGAAATAGTTTCGTACGACTACTGCGGTTACGGCTCCAGCAGTGGGTCCGCCTCGGAATCCAATATGCTCAAAGCTTGCGCTGAAGTCTTGCGGTATATAACGGAAACGTTGAAGAGGCCGATCAGCCGAGTCGTCCTCTACGGCCAGAGCATCGGTTCCGTCCCAACAGCCTATTTGGCGTCGATTCACAAGGTGGCTGGGGTCATTTTCCATTCGGGCTTGTACTCAGGTGTACGTCTGATATGCCGAGAAAGACAGGAGAAATGTTTGTCCAGCTGTGTTGACCCTTTTCGAAACGTCGACCATATCACAAAGATCAAATCCCCCGTGCTATTCATCCACGGTTCGGAAGACCTCGTCATCCCCATGTCACACGCCGTCGACCTGTCGCGGTTGTGTGAGACCGCTGTAGAGCCGCTCTGGATCCACGGTGGAGGTCATACGGGACTGGAATTGAAACCGAGTTTCATAGGGAAGCTGCGAGCTTTCCTTGAGTTCGTCGAGAGACAAGGAACTACGCGTGGTCCGCATTCGCGCGGAGGGAAACCGCTCGGATCCGTCCGGCTACTGCGATCGGCAGACAAAGCTGTCGATGTTTTGTAATCGTACTCGTTTTTCCTTTGCGTTGCGAATAAAGACACATACCGTAAATATTCCAATACGAACCCGGGCTCCCATAATTCCGAACCCTTTCGCAGAAGGGCTCCTATTGGGGAGAGGCTCCTATCACAGGGGAGCTCCTCATGATCCCACGCGTGGTTTTGCAATGACGGTGATTGGGGAGAAGAGACTCCAGAGAGCTTCTCGGAAATCTGATCCGATTCCCCTTGAGGGGCTTCTGTCCGAGACGGGCTACTATTGAGGACGGGCTTCTATTCGACTCGAGAGCCCCGCCGAGGGGCTATTATTATTGGAGACGGGCTACTATTGGAGAGGGGCTTGTACTCGAATATTTGCGGTACATCAATTATTGAGGGGTGCCAGCGTATCCAGCTCTGCTCCGAACAGTAGGCAGTAAACAGTCTCACTCTTTCGAGATCATGCTTGTGTACCTCGACGAGACGCGCTCGTAAATTCTTGGACAAAAACGTATTCGGATCACCTAACATCCCAGGAACCAATCATTGCGGAGCGGGAGCGTGAGGGAAGCTCGGGCTGGGTTTTGTCCAGAGTTTTTCCCTCGCCTCCCGGGCTTTGTTATGGAGGGAATCTTTCACTGGCAATCAGTGGAGACAATCCGAACAGATCTGGGTTTGATTGAAGCTGGAACTTCTCTTGTACTCTCGAGTCTTGCTGCCCAAACCCACCTGTTGATCGCAATCCGACTCCCCAGCTTACAGGTGAGATCGATCATGGTCTCCTTTGTCAGCACCAGGATATTGCTCCGATGGAATCTCGTCACGAGGAACCTCGCGGGTTCGGCGAACTCTCTTCGTTCGTGGAGAAAATCCGCTATAGCGAAAGATGTTCAGCATTATCTTCATGGCGGGCAAGCCAACGGACGGGAAAGAAAAGTGTTCGTTTTCTCAAAAATTCGCTGTTACGGATTTCGTTAAAACGATATTGTACTGCATAACGAGTCATCGGGCTTCACCGTATGTTAAATGCTGGCGGTTCCATATCGTTACTTCGGGAGAGCTCTCTATCATATGAGTACTGTGATACGCCGGCGCTGGAGAAGAAAAGTTCCGCCCGAGTGATACTGCTGTACGCAATGGGATAAGCTCCGACCTTGAGATAATCCTCTCCTGGCTCCTTGCTCTTTCTCTTATTTTCATCGCGGTTCGCTGTACGCGATTTTTTTCATGTTTCGCGACTTCTTGATACGGTGCGTTTCTTGTAGACTCGGGTGATCAGATGTTCTCAAGGATCGATTCTCGGCATTCGTGACAGCCCCCATCAAGCTCGTGTGAAACCTTTGGAACGACTGGACTCCAGGAAGACGTAAGTTCAGCGCGGACACGGTCTCGACCCTATACGCGTGGAGAGAATTCGACGAGACTTGCACAATCCATCAATCAATCTCGAGGAGTCGGTTCTGGGATTCGTGGGATGCCTCGGTGTCAGGGGATCTGGATGGGCCGAAATGTGTTGTTCAGAGGGCGGCTCATTCTCGCCGGAATTCTGAAAACTGACTCACTGAAACCCCCATTCATAAACTGAAGAATTCGGAGTCACCCCGTGCTTAGCGTGATCGAGTTCATTCATAATCCCTGTCCGACTCGATGGACTGACGCGGAGAGAAAGGGATTCGGTCTGAGATCCTCAGGGCTCGCTTTGTCAGGGTGCCAACGAAAATCATGTGGAAACGTTCATGACTTTCCTCGAAGACCGAGCGTATGTTTTGCCTTTGGCTTAATCGCAGCTTACGATCATCCGATTCATGCCTGATGGTTCGAATGAGCCAGTTCAAGCCCGAATCACCGCAATTCCCCCCAGCGCTTGATGGCTCCTTCCAGAATTTGTGGCCGAGGCATCGAGACCAGGTCTTTTAGGCAATGATTTTCGGGACCGTCCCATCGTTGCCATGATCATCAGTGAATTTTAGGCGGCCAATACCATTCATTACCTCTTGCATTCATCATGCACCGAGCTCTTCAAAGCGAGCTACACCGTATGTATCAGGGGACCACAGCGATATCTGACCATGATATGAATTTTTAATGCAATCGCTCCGAGCGGCATTCTGGCATGCGTCTCCCAGAAATTCTCCCGCTCAAACTCAAAGACTCGAACTCAACACAGAAGATATGACGACTAATGTCATACGTATGAAACAATCGACGGAAATTCGCCAGCTACTATCGCATTTTCTCGAGGGTTTTTTGTTTGGTTTTCCTTGAGGGCGTCATCGGGCGAAGAATTGGATTCGCCGATATTGGTTTTGTTTCGGCGATCACGCCTTCGCTACCTGTACTCCCTTGGCGGACATCACTTCACTGATTCTGAAAGTTTTCTATTCCGAGTTTGAACATCTATTGGAGAGCAACTCGACGAAAATCGAGCTGGCAGGTATGGATAGATCACGCTTGATTATTCCGACGGAAAGACGCCCTTCTTCTCGGGAGAGTCAGACTTCAGCATACTCAACGTCTCTGCCTGAGAAACATGACGAGCTTGTGTGCATACTATAGTTGACACTCAATGAGAATAGTATTAACGGAGTACGATGATCCATGATGAATTGTTCATCGAGAGCTCGATTGAGGAGCTCGGTGCGTCTCGCAGAGCCGTTCGCTAAGCGAAAGGTTCCTTTCCCGGCTTAGGGCTCGATTCGCGACTCCACGATACGGTCTCCCAGCTGCCCTCCACGTTCCGAGTTCGTCATCCTCATTGGGGGCAGAACGGTCGCCGGATGGATGAAGAATGCTCGGATCCCGCAGCTCGGGAGAAAAGTGTGCCTATAGATATGAAGAAATTCACTCGTAAACCGAAATGGGTCCTTGATTCTACGCACTTTCTCAAGAAGTCTACTTGCCTACTTACCTACACATCAAGCCCGAGACTCTCCATGGGGGAAACTATTCGCAAGCTCGGATTCAGGCGGGAAACAGGGACGATATTCATCCTTTTCGTTACAAGTGCTTCCGAGTTGGCCACAGGAGGTCCAGGATCTTCTCGAACACATCTGCATCGTGTTTTAGCCTTCGGAAACTTCCCGCGAGGGAGCAGCTGCCGGGTGCACGAGTAATCTTCTGCAAATTACGGAGACGTTTCTATTTTTCTCAACTCCCCTTCCATAACCTGAATATTGCATTGAGATGACTGAGTCACATCAGGACGATGGGGCACGATCTCTTCTCCGATTAGTTCCCGCTCAAGCATACTCCCGAGTGGACGCATGCGTCATATACGCATTTTTGGAAGAAAGGAGCGATTGAGGTAGAAACCATGTCATCGTGTACCTTCGGAGGTGAAGTTTATCCTCCTGTATCTCCCGGAAGAGGGTTTGTCCACTTGTTACCCGTCCTTGAGCATCGAATCAGCGTCTGTATCACGACTTCGTCGGTAGACGTAGCGTGATTCTCGTCGATCCGAACTTTACGGTCGGAAAAACTTCGGCTTCGAGACTCCACCTGCAGCGACAGCGATTGGATCCATTGCAGATACGGCGTCTGAGGAACACTTAAGAGAAGGATATCCTGACCCCTGAGCAAGATGACAAAGGTTTCGCTGCTGAGGGGACGCCACGGACAGCAATTCCTGAGATACTTTCAGACTTTCCACCTTCTCATGTCTGGAATCACCATGGTTAGTGCTTTGTGCCGTTATCGAGTGAACGAGAGCAATGGATCTGATTGCAGAAAGCCAGTAGCTGAAGTCTCCTCAGGGCAGCATGAGATAAGCAGCCGTCGAACGATGAAAATGTACAGGGAAATTATTTTAAGTAGGCAAAAGGGAATATTCATCTGCTACCTTGGCTTCTTTCTCAGGGTCTGGTACTCGTTCTCGTCGGACCAACGCTGCTCGATCTCGCGGATATTTTGCAAGTCTCCGTCCGTCAGATAACCTTCGTGTCGTTCGGATGCGATTTAGGAGCTTTCATCGGCTCCGCTCTAGGTGAGTGTTTTTCCGAATTTCGGATTCCTTGGCTACCCCAGAACGATTCGGGCGCCGCTCGGATAGCCCCCCTCCCCGATTCCCCCACCGCTTTTCGCGAATCGGAATAAATAATTCACATTGGAAGCTTATTCATAGAATCTACTCAATTTATCAGAAAACGTTTCAAAATTAATTACCTCCGCATCGTTTGAGGGCTCGTTGAGAAATTCCCTGATTGGAAACGCCTCGTACCGACGGGCCATTCAAAGTTCCGCTATCTAGGGCTGGTGATGGAATTTTTTCATGACGTGATCTTGTCGCGGCTCAGAAAATCCGGCGTCAACAGCTTACGTCGTTCTCGGTCAGAATGGAAGAATCGTAAGCGACGAAAAGAGACTTCTGCGAAGATCTCTTCCGAGAATCTGAGCTCGGTTCTCAAAAACATGTCGGTACGCTCCGAGCCCGGCAATCGGAAAACCCATGATAGCATCGAATCAGGAGCGCTTTTGCCATTTCTATACCCTAAGTGACATGATCTTCACCCTTCAGCCCTGGTGATCTATAAATATGTCAGTGCGCAGAAGGTCTTGATATCCTCCGTCCTGCTGATCGGTATATCGAACATACTGATCCCGAATGCAGGATCGCCGACAACGATGGCTGCGTTGACATTCTGTGTCGGGATGAGCGTGGGAGTCGTGGAAATTGGTGAGTTCCGTGCTCCTTCTAGAGTTTCCGAGCTGAGGCATAGATAGATTGAGCCACCATCCCCCCTCCCACCGTCGACGTCATCGATTCCAGAGCTTTCCGAATAATCTATTCCTCGTGCTGCAAATCCTTATCCTGGTCAATGCGAAGATGACGTCATGCTTCCGATCCTGATTGGGGAATTCGACCATTCGGGAACGGGCTTGGGATATGGAGAACATTGAGTCTAAAGATTCGTTTCCTCAGGAGCCTATATTTGGATAATCGGATTGTGGCCGGACAACGTTGCTCCAATCACTCAGATGCTCCACCTTGCTTACGGCATAGGAGCGTTTATGTCACCTTTGATCGCGGAGCCTTATCTCCGGCATCACGAGTGAGTAGAGAAGCGATTCTGTTTTCGAAAACAAATGTTCGTAAGGATGATCACGACAGCGGTGTGATTATAAAAATACACGGTTGACTCCTCAAACACGCACTTGTATACCCTTGGTCCGGCTGAGAAATAAAAGAGGAAGCCGATGCCCCATTTGATAGCGCTCAAACGCGACAGAGGGAAGAGTAGAGATGAGACGACGGCCAGTGCGCGGAAGCTTCACGAAAACGGTGTACAGAGATGATTGTCCTCAGAACTCGGCAGCCGGCCGAACGCTTACGAGATGATGTCGAAAGCAGACCCGCTTCCATAGGGAGCCATGCGATTGGGTGACGGTAATTGTCGAAATCGTCGCCCTCAGCTCGAGGTTTCACGATGTTGGTGCCAAAAGCCGTTCTGTGCGAGAACGAGATCGACATTCAGAGGGATACTTCCGATATCAGAACATGTGATCCACGACTTATGCACACAGACGTTCACTGATGCATACGAGGTAATTCGATCGAGAGTTGTTGCGGTCGTCTCGTCGTGAATGATTTGAACGCTAATCTAATGACAGTGTCGGAAAAGAGAGTTACTCCGACCATAATCGTTTGCACGGGATTCCCGATGGCGATTTGAAAGCCTTCCAGTAGATAGATTGACCGCAAAGAATTATCCGAGCTGTTTGTCCGTCGCGTCAGTGGAAAACACGCGATCGCTCCGCCGAGGGACCGACCATGTCGCGCTCCTGCCATGGGAGATCCGGTCAGATTGAGAGAGGAATCGTCTCCTGTCAGCGTCCTTTAGGCTTCTCGGTCATTCTACAATAAGCGTGAGAAAACGCGAGCTTCCTTGGCAAAGCCTACGTGCTCCTCCGGATTCGAGGCGAGCTACTTCATTACCGGAGTAAAAATTTCGTACACGTGTATACAACATATATTTACAATATCCCATCTGCCGTAAACTTCTCGGCTTAGAAGCGGATACATTTTTCACTGCGTTGGGTGTGGGTCATCGGAACGAATGACGCAATGGAAGACGACAGACGAGAAAGAAGGAATACGACGAAGCTCCGCGGGAGTTTGCAGCTTGAGAAACAGCGACGAATATCCGGGCTAGAAAGCGCGCTCTTCACCAGCCGTCGTGTCGGTCAGTCCGGATTGGGAACAGCTAATTGCGCGATCTCAGAGGACGGATCTTCCGAATCGCGGAGAAGGCTCATTTGAAACTGAAAACTCTTTGAAACGAGTGGATAATTACTAATAATTACTCCCCCGGTGAAGTCGAGCCGGCAACGTAGTCATACGAGGGAAGTCAGTAGGATAAACCCCTTGTTTCTTCTTGAATGAGCATGCCAAGGATTCGGGGTATTCTGGAAAAACTTGTGGCTGTTGAATGACTCCCTTGACGAATGAGGAATCTCTTTTGCAGGGAAGATCCCGATTCACTCGTATTCAACTCGACAGAAGCAAATAAGACGGAGTTTCTCAACGATTTTTTGGATGGCGAATTCGACAACTCCAGCTACGTTGACTATCCTCCAAGCTTGGCTACGGAATCCCGAGTGTACATCCCCTACGCCTTGATCGGTGAGCATGAATTGCCGGCGTCGAACGGAAGCGCTGGAGTCGTTACCGCAGACATTCCCCTAACAATGGATCGATTATTATCACTGGATGGAGTGGTGGTTTCCAACGGGAACGTAAGCGATTATTATCCCGCTTACGTCGGCGGAAAATTTCCGGAGCACAAATGAGATCCGAAGACCCGCGCTCGGAAAGTTGATCGACTTACTCGTTCTCCTCGCTGCCATTCACTGGGATCCCGTGTCGATTGACATGACAGTTGATAATTCAATAGAAGTCTGAAACACCGACGTGGACCACCGCGACGATATTTGCGCCCACGCATGCTTCGACTTGACCTTATGGCGGCGGCGCCATTCACGCGGAGCATCTCCTAAGCGAGAATCGGCCGGCAATGTTTTCGATTGCCACATGAGTCAGCCCTCCAGAAGAAAAAAGACGCAGGAAATTTTCCCGCCTGGGAAAATTAGGGGGAGATTAGCGGGCCGACTCGAGCTGGCCGCATGATTTCTGTCAACCCGATTCCCCGATCCACCCAAAGCTGAACGTGATTTTCTACCGCGCAGGTGCCTTCGCTCTCTTCAATGCTGGCTCCATCCTCGTTTCGTACTGTTTGGACTCGAGAGATATCAAACCCGAAGAACCCGCCGAGGAAGAACGAGCGGCACGGAAACCAACTTCGAAAGCCTTCCAGTGGTCCCTAGTGTCACTGGTCGGCTTCTATATCATGGTCCTGGTGGTCCTCGAAGTCACCGTGGGCAAATTCCTCGCAACATACGTCGTTCAGCATTTCGGGCTCGACCGTTCGATCGGAGCTTATCTCGTCTCGTTGTTCTACATTGGATTCACATCGGGGAGGGTGGTTGCCGTGCCATTATCTCTGAAGTTCACTCCGATGCAAATGATGAACGCCGCGCAAGCGTTATTGATGGCGTCGGCGGTCTGCCTAACAGTTTTGGACACAAACGTTAATGTTTTGTGGATCTGCTTCTTTACTTTGGGGCTTTCCATGGCGCCAATGTTCGGCTGCTGCACGGCGTGGCTCTCCGCGCACGTGACCCTTTCGCACGATTTCATGTCAGTCATAATGACTATCGCGACTTTCGGAGCCATAGGTCCTCCCCTTTTTGTCGGAAGTTTCATCGAAAGCCATCCCTACGTACTAACATATTTCATCCTGCTCGCTGCCGTCTGTGTGCTCGTGACCGCCTGGTCGATGGGCTTCGTAGCCCTCATCTATCACAAAAGAACCTATAGACGATGTCCTGTAGACACGAATGAGGAATTGCACAAATTGAGTGAAGCTTGATCTTCTCTGACAGAATGCTCGTCGCACCGATAATTATCGAGAAGCTTGTTGCTTAGCAGAGACTTCAGTCCCCCTTCCCCGAGGCAGAAGCTACCCTCCAGAGGGTTGCAGCCAGGATGCGAGTACTTGAAATGCGGCTTCGTCCAAGGGATGGCTTCGGCAACCCGTCCCGATTCTTCCTACCGTCGGCTCGTCTACATGAAACCATGAACCTTCGCCATCACTGCTATCCATAATGTAACTTGTGTCTAAAGCTAAGCAGCTCCGGTCTCAGTTCCTTGATCTTATCCATTCCGAGCTCGTTCTCCGCATTTCCCGTCGGGGAAGCGGGAATGTCTCGGGAAATTCGAATGATTGCTCCGATTTTCGTGCCAGCCTGAGTATTCTCTCTGGCGAGGGAGAAAATTAGCGAAGAAAGGGAGAACAACGTTCCTCGTTTGACCTCAATAAATATATTTACTCTCCCTCTTTTACTCGTTCATGATCAATATATTCCACCTAGTTTCATTGCTCGATATCGTATCGTACACCCGTAATGCTTGCTGACATCAAGTCGCGACGATCGACGTCTTTCATAAAGCATTCAGCTAAATCAAAATTTATCTTTACAACGAAATGCCCTCATAGACTATCGCCGTAGGGGGAACTTCATCACCCCGATCCCTTAACCTTAAGTTTGTACACGCCTTGGTCTCATGACATGCACAGCCTCGAGAGGGTTTCTCCTCTGGATTGTCGCAGGTGGGGCTCAAAGCTAGCGATCCGTGATCTCGTCACCGATGTCGAATCAATTGGATACGATCTGATGAAAACCATTCAGCTCAGACTCACAATCAGTCGTACACATTGGGTTAAAACCCCTGGAACAACATTCAATGCACATCAACAAACACTCATGCGAGTTGAGAAACAATCCGGTCGACGGTCTTAATCTCAGCGGGACTCTATTGATTGTCGTGACTCCTGGACGCAAATACGTTCTCATGAAATTTCCATCGAGGCAGAAAGGTGGTCTCCAATAAGTCTTGCTGAGCGAGTCGATCCCGTATTTCCTTGGTTTCTTCGTCAGACAATTTCATATCGAATTCTTGATGGCATTCAGCAACCTCACGGAGATCAGGAAGCTTCAGAAGAATTCTAGCGTACAAGGCCTTGGATGCGTCGGGATACCGGAAGTGAAGGTATGTCTTGAGAAGCATCAGATATCTCTCTTGCACGAGGGCGATATGACCGGTATCCAGGAGACCTTTACGATCTCCACAGTGAAGAGAGATCGCCATGAGAATTGTGTAGATGATATTGTCACGCTCAGGAACCGCCTGTCGCATAGTTTTCACGAAGCGTTTGTGCTTCTCGATGAGGAGATCGTCGTCGACGAATTCCCGCACGTCCTCCAAGTAAACAAGAGCCTCGTCCACGTCCCTCGGCTGGTCGTGCGATAGAACCCAACCTTTCAATCGGTCATCGTAGGCGTAGGCGCTCCGCAGGAAAAGCATTTCCAACACCGATGATCTGAGCAATGTTTCCTTATCGGCCATAATCGGAATCGCTCGGAACGATGAAAGTTTCTGTGAGAAATATGAAAACTGCTTGATCGCCGAGAAGAAGAGGTGAAGAACGTAGCTCCGAGTCACCATTCGCCTGGATTGAAAGGCTTCCAAGGGATGAGAACAGTGTTGATACGTATTTACTAGCTCTTCAATCAAGGCCACGTCTTCGGGACTGAGATCAGAGAACGTATTTAAAGGTGACGTTGATTCTATCGTGGTCGTTGTGCTTGGCTCGCTCGTTGAGGTTGTCGTGGAGGAAGTCGCGCATTGTTCTTTAGGTGCCGGGGTCGCGATCGTCGACGTTATCGAGCTGACAGTCGTCGTCGGTGTCTCCAGCGTCCGGAAGCCAGGAGTTGACTTTGCAACGAGCAATCTTTGCTTTCGTTCCAAGCGTGACTTGAGAAGCTGGGTCCTCTCTTCCTCGGTCATAACCCAACCTTTCTCCATTCCGATATCGTTGCATTTTCGGAATCGGCAGAATTGACAACATTTCCTGCCGGACGAAATTAGGGTCACATATGAAATGGGGTACGAATAGGATGACCGACATGATATAACACGATGATTTTCGAGGAGTCTCACCTAGATGTTATAGTGATTTCACAGCGACCTTCGTAAGGGCACTGGAAGTTTTTGTACGCTTCATTTTGTACCGACCGTCGGAAAAACGCCTTGCAGCTATCACATGAGATCCCGCCGAAATGATAGGACTTCGCCCTGTCCCCGCAGACGCCGCATACCTTGGCAGGCTTCTGCAGTGGAGGCAAATTCCAAAAATCAGTGAATAGGATCGGTGTTCCAGGCGAGCGAGGGGTAATAGACTGATAGGATAGATATCATGGACTGGGAAATTAGGAAATTTTTCATACGGAGCTGCCAGAAAAAAAGGTGCGAAAGCATCGGAGATTATCGCAGAGATATGAGATATACCTTTCCAGGGGAGCTGTGATGGGACTGGTGGGGTTGTTGAGGTGGTTGATGGGGATGATGCTGGTGATTGTAGTGGAGGGAAGAAGTCGGAGAAAGTCGCGATGGAATCGACGTGAACGGAGGCGGAGGCGTTCGAGAGCCGTGGCTTGAGGGGAACGCTCCGAAGCTGAAGCTAGACCCCTGCTGACCACGACCTCCGATCAACTGAGTGTCGAATTCGGACAACGACGTCGAACTTTGACTCCGATGAAGTGAACCGCCGAGCAAAGATGCGCCCTCGACTCCCAATGGACTGGACGGAAGATCCCCAATTTTCAATGCGGTTACTGCCAGAGGGGAGAACCCTGCGAAAGGAAGAAAATGACTTGACTTTTCGAGTGAGGGGATCATGCGAGAAACGCTGCTACCAGCGAGAAGACTACAGAGAAAAACTAGCTTGAGCTCGGTGATGTGCTGGTGCTACATGCGTTCCTCCCAGAGACTCCGACTGAAGTCAAAAGGATGCTTCTACTTCCCCTAGGTCCTGGCAGATCAGCTTGGATCATACAGTCGAATAATCCTCAATCGGGACCAAACGCAGAAGTCAGTGCCTCGATGCGAAGGAGGACGTGTTCGATACAGTTGAATGACGCTACTCGAACAGAACAGTGCCATTCCCGTTGGCAACCGAGTGAAACGTCATTGAATGGGAAGAGAATGCCCTTCCCAGCCAGAGCGAGGACTCTCGTAATTCCCTCCAAATATTCCGACAGAAGTTTTTGCTCCGACCGCCGTCACGTTTCGGTCACGATCCTAATCGGCTTTATGAGCAGTCTCCTCGAGACGAATGCGATAGCCTCGACCAGAATCGGTTAAACCAACATGCTTATCTATACCTATGTAAGCTCGGGGGTGGATCTATAGCCTTCAATCGCTCCAATAAGTGCGATTTAGCTCATCCGAGTGCGCATGCATGCTCCCGCAGCGAGCATGCGTCGAAGCCGAAAACCCATATTCTACGCCCACCGAGCATTTTCTGAATCCACAAAGTTGGTGGAGTCGAGTGCATGAGAGTCCCGTGAGGCGCAGGAGCGGCCCTCGTCCATTGAGTTTCAGAGCCCGGCTTTCACGAGTCAGTCAGAGACGGCACGCGAGCTTGGACGAATTAGGGGCATTCGCATTCCTCCCACGGCGCCCGAAGCGAGAGGATTTGATGTCTCCCGCACAAAGAAAGGAACGATATTCATCGCTGCTCGCGTTTATCGGAATCATCGTCTTGCGATCAGAAGAAAATCGACAAATCGATTCTGAAAAAACTCCACTGATCACTAGGAGCAGCCCCTCGGCTGCTTAGCGCGTTTTCGATCAGTCGGTGAGTGAGGAATTTCTGGAGCTTATACCATGCGACATATTCGCTGGGGCACTCAATCAACGTCTCGTTCGAGCGAGTTTCAGCTCGGCTCGTCCAAGAGTCTTGATTGCGCGGCAGCAAGCAGTACTCAATCTGTCCTGCCTGAGTACGAGAGTGGAGGAATTCCTCTTATGAGATGAGGATAATCCGGGAAAAATGTCGTTTTGGAGCCAGCCTATCAAAACTAATGAGTCCTTCAATTCTCGCGCAATTCTCCATTAATTGGAGGCGACGGTGCGACTTGGGAATACATCTTCAGCCCCCATGAATGAAGAAAAGGAAGATCTACATTCTCGGCATCTCGGTATACGGCGCCCTCGAGCGCTACCCAAGCTCCTAGTCTTCCCGCGCTTCTTCCGTTAAATCCTCTCATCATATGAATTTTCGCCATCCGTCTCCCGGTCTGCCATATGGGTTCCCGACGGTTTTCAACGCGGCGTTCGGTTGCGGCGGCCGGTCGGGAATGACCGCGGGATCCATTCCGGCAGCTTCTAGAGACAGATTCTCACCTCAGGAACTTCGCCGGAATCGTAGGAGGAAGGCGTCTCTCGGCTTCGAACCTGCGAAACCTCACTCGAGATGAGGTCGACGTGGCTATGCCATGCTATGGGTCTCTGTGTATGCGAAACCTTCACGTTAAGTCCAAATCACGCAGATCAAAGATCGCTCGGCTTGAACCTATGCTGACCGTTCTTTGAGAACAAAAACCTTTTCGTCGATTTCGCCGCCCCGTGCCCCTGATCCGCAGAGTTTTCAGAGCCGTCATAACTCGTGATCATGCTCCGAGATCGAAGTTGAACCGCCTATCTTCACCGCGACTCGAATTGGCAGCTGCGGGAGCGACCGTAGTCGCGCAGCGGAAATAATTTTTTTAAGCGAGGCGACTCGCGCCTTGACAAATTGCCTCACGCGCGCGCGTATCCTGAATAGAAGCAGACAAATGAGGAGGAACTTTTGAGCGATGCGGAGCTCCGCTTTCGGCGAGACGACGGCTTCTGATACGGGTCTGATGCATGTGTGCTGCCTCGGATTTCCATAGTCTCCTTCTTGAACTCGTGTCATCTTTTTAATTGGATAGGAGAGTACGGCGCGAAGGGATCGGGCGCATCACCCGAGACGAACAATTGCTCGGAGACCACCCCGGAACAGTTTCCGTGCCCTTATTGAGGATTCCTCCGAGTATTTCCGTATTGCCCCCCTTACCTCAACTCAGGGCAACTCCAGGTCATTGAAACTGGAATTCTCCTCCACGGTATAGGGGCGACCACTGCCCTCGGCTGCTCGTAACGCCGCGGCTATTTTGGCACCAAAGAGTGAATATGAAAGAGTTCGTCTCATATTCTGGTAGGTGATCTCTTCCTCTGATTCCTCACCGGAGAGGGAACATCCCCAAGCGGAAGATCATTTTCGCAAGAGAAGGTACACGGAGATAACGCTTTCAGGGTGAGTAAACCCAATCTCGGCCGTTCGGCGTGCTCTCATTAGGAGAGTAGTGCGGCATACGACGGGACGCGGAGAGCAAAGGCGGAAACAATGATATTATTATATGACGAAGTCACCCATTCGTGCAGGGGGTGAGGTGGCGCAAGATCGTCCTGGTTTTAATGAAGTTCTACGCAGGTGCAGCAGAAGATGTCGAACAATTGCAGAACGCGATTCCGTATGAAGTCGATCGGAGCAATAATAGTCGGAAGTAGTCTAATCTGGGCTTCGGAAGCCAATGGACTTTCTTCGCTGGCTCGATCTATTCTGGCTGATATTCGTCCGGGGGGACCACAGCTCCGCTAGAGTTTACCGAGCTCTCCCAGATTTCTTAGAATCTCATCGGGCTCTCCCTACAGTGCCTACTAGGTAGAAATCGCCGAAGGCTACTCAGTAATGCCCCTTCTTCCCCGAACAAGAATACAAGGGAGAGAATCACCGTAAAAATCGTTTGAAGATTTCCCGGCCGGATATTTTCGGAGGCAGCTCATGCGCAACGGACGTAAATTGGAAATCTGCCTGGACGGAATGCTCTGTTTCCAGATCTTGTATCCGACCGCTCGTGTCCGGTACGTGAGAAGCTATCACAAATTTCAACTTAATTACACGCAGCTTATGACCAGGTGATTTTTAATTTCTGGACTGATTCTGGTCACAGGGATCTGGAAGCTGCGCGGAACAAAGCAACTCGTTCCAGAAGTTCCAGAAAGCGGAGATCTTTCTCATTTGTTCACGCCTCCGGACCTAACTCGTCCGTGTTTCGCCATCCGAAACTGAAGAGGAAATTACTCGACATAAATTAAACGAATTTCATCGCGGTGTCACGGCTCTTTAGTTCCTCGCGCTCATAAGTTTGAAGTTCGGATTAGTTTCTTGAAGAACATTTCTTTTCACCCCTTCTGTTCTCTGGTTCCTCCGCGGGAAATTCGCTCGGCGCTCAGCTCGATTGCCGATTGAGGGAATGTGAGGGAACATTGTGTGAAATCCTCAATGGAATCATTTGATTCAGTAGTGAACTCGGGAAGTGAGTGAGCACGACTGCTCGAGCTCACCTGCTCATTGTTATCGGATGACAGACCACGAGCTGCCTCCGTCGATGACCAGGAATATTCCACGGACATGATGTGGCGGTCTGTGCATCTCACAGTCGAAATCGCGTTGGGCTGATCCAGGATGTACATGAACTCACATGCATATGTCGGAAGGTCATCGCTCCTAATCCACCGGTCAAAGCCTTGTTACGAAGGTAGCTTAAGCCTATGACCTTCTAGGCGAATACCGAGACGAACTGCCAAGCCGATGGCCGACCGGAAATAGCTAAACAACGCCTACTTTCGCATCTCAAGATCGCCGGGGCTCTTTGGTGGGGGCTAATGTCTGAGAGCGGCATTGGACTCGATAGCGCTCTGACAAGCGCCCGATGGCGTTGTTCTTGCCGGCTTTGGAGTCAGCGCAGCGATCGGCACGATCCTGAATAATATTGCTCCACGTAAAGATGATTGTCTGTTATATGAATCATGAGGTCATTATAGATTGCTGGGCAGGGCGCATCTTCGAGATGCCATCAATGCGGGGTCTCTTTGATTCGACCAACAGCTACGCTCAATCAGAGTGGATAGCGGTTTTAAAAACAACAGTCAAAGAATATTGAAGGCGTACCATCGGCAGCTCCGTCATCTGATTTGAATCGAGGGAAATCATCTTGTGTTCTGCTCTCGATTTCGCCCTGAGATCTGCTCTGAAATCCTCCGACTACGGAGAGGATGAGGAGAACAAGAGCGCCGAAAGACTTTCGATTACTTGCCTCAAAAATTTAGTCGATCTGAGCCCGACGGAAGACAGTATCTAGTGTTTCGGCGCAGAGAAATTGTTGCGATCAAGGAAAATAAATAGAAGTCATCAGGTCTGTGTTCTATTCCATCGATTCCGATTTATCTTCGGCCTCTGCTATCGATCCCATATCTAATCTTTCACGGAAAACATTCCGGAGCGGCTGCCGATGGTTTATTAAAAAATGGACTCCGCCTTCGTCGTCGTCCACCACGAAAAATGAAGAGTGGATGTTTTCGGAGCAAATTTGCTTTTAGGTGGCTGAAAGCAGACCGTCGATGAAAGATGAAGCATTTTGATGGAGTCTGAAGCAACGATAGCCTTCGCTGTCGGCTGCTCCAGATCGTTCATTTCGGCTTGAAAAGCTAACAGATTTTGTTAGATTAGCTCGAGTCGTCAAAAAAGAAGACCACTCTCCCTTGGTGGCCGCCATCCATTCCGAAGTTCACACTGTCGTCGCCATGAATCCACTCAGTCAGCTGCTCTCTCCTCTATCCGCTACTTCCCTCATCTGGGCAACCTTCACGTGGAGTCATTGGATTCAGACGATAACAATTAATGGGACCATCCGAAAAAGTTTTCGAAAGTCGTTCTTGCTCAGCCGACTCGATGAATATCTCGGAAAAAATTCACGAACTCCCTCAGATGGATAATTCGAACTCCCGCCGAGGGGTGCAAGAAATCACATCCGACTTCGGATAAGTGCCGGCTGTATCGAGCGAGCTCTTGTCTAATAAGAGGGATTCAATATGGGAGTTTCCACCATCATTCGGTATCAAAATATTCAATTGGGGCTTTTGAGTCGCTGCAGAGTTATTGTCAATACTGCGGGGGCGATTGAACCTCGAGGAATTAGGGAGCGATACCTGGTTCAGGAAGAAGAGTGTATATCCTGGAGGGCGCATCGTCCAGGATACCTCTAGAGTGACCTTACATCCCATTCCACTTGACTCTCTGTGCGAGATACGCGAGCATCAGAGCATGAGGGACAGTCACGTCTCTACTCTCAACTTCCGTGAAGATCATCCGATTTTCAAAATGAGTTCTTCCCTTGCTGGAGGTTTATGCTCTTCTGACTGGGAGTGTGTACCCCGGATTTTTTCTCTCCGATGTGTCTCTCTCTGATTCGGACAAAATCGCGACTATCCTTTAAATACCCTGGGTCACTGAGCATTCGGTCACGCCGATAGGACGAGCGAAGGCGAGACCGAAACTCCTCGAGAGATTTCCTCGATGACCGATTCCAAAGGGTGAGGAGGACCCTCTATATATTAAGAGAAACGCGCCTATGGCCTGGGCTCCCCCGACCGTCTGTCTGAGCGGAAAAATGATTCGGAAGAAGTCACGATGGCAGAGCGCCCGACCGGTGTACAGCTACATCGATGGGAGCTTTTTCGGGATGCTCTTCAAATTCTTTGGAACTGCGAGCCCGTGACACTATTGATATTGTCGACGATATGAAATACCCTTCACTTCTCAGAGACAAATCTCAGAATGATACATTGCAGTTTCGCTCTGTGATGATATTCCAGTGTGAATTTATGGCGCTTGAGAGCGTAATCCGGAAGGCGTTATCGAACGAGCCAGCGAGGAGCTAGCTCGCTGCGGTGGTTCGCGCGAGCGACGGCACCGATGGGGTTTTCCCAGAAGTTCGTTCCAATTTTCCTCTCCTCCATTCGCCGTGGCGGATGTCTAAAAACTGCGTGTATATTCGAGCGCAGAATCACGGAAAAATTTTTGGTCGACCATGAACATGCGAAGAGGCGACGTGGGGACCGCTAGCGATCTGATAGGCGCCATCGACAAGAAAAAACTCCCAGACTGGGAGGTTCGAAGATGGAATTTGAACTCTGGTGGGGATCATTCAGCCCGGTTATCGCCAGCCTGGATTGACCATCGATATGCATACCAGGCTTATGACGATGCTAGATGATCGAATTCACGAGAGTATGCGAAGGACCACCGATTATGTAAAGAGGACACATATCATGTGCAAGGAGTATAGCCCCGGTAGAACCGGACATTGATGATACATGCACTCTCCAGACTCCCTCGGAAAGTTGAAATTAAAAATTCATTTTTTTCCACTATGACGTAAAAACTCCACCGACTCGCGGATCATGATGTAGCTTGTTTTTGAGCCTTTGAAATGAGTCTGTCTAGACCGTACAACGATGATAGAATCGGGATGTCCGGTGCTGTCGAAGCTCTAGCAATGAGATTATTAGTGATGAAGTAGGTTTTCTGCATGAGACCCGTAGTGAACTGAAGTCGGCAGCGACAGATTGCTCTCTCTTGAGAAGGTCTTCACGCGGATGATGCCCGAGACTGGGGCGAGAACCGATGGAGATTTGTATGTTCACCTCATCCAAACGGAGGATGAGACCGCAGAATCGGCGCGAGAAGATCCAGCTTTCCTCAAGGGATGATGATCTCATCGAGGATGACCTGCCCGGAGCTGGGATGCGATATTTCGAGCGAAAGAGTTTCTGCAATTTTTGTTTTTTTCTCCGACAGAATGCGAGCGATGAAGCTTCAAAAATCCGCTTTGCCTGTGTTTCCTCGAAAATGCGAAGTACAATCGGACCTCGGCGTGCCAGAGGGGTGGAGAAGCACGACGTGGAAGGCAACACAACTCGCGGGAGTTTTCTCATTCTTCCCGCCGGACATATCGGTATGTCGTCGGAGCTCCTACCCGATAGCAGTTCATCTAAGCGTAGCTTGTTTGCTTGCCCGCCAGCTCGGTTCCTCCGTCCGTTCGGTCGTTCGTCCTTTCAGATCATCAATAATCCACGGAGATACATCGGGCGTATACTTTTCGGCTGGACAGTCGCTCGTAGCTTCTGGTGTCTACGAATCTGTTTCAGACTCATCTCTCGCCGCCGTCGCTGCTGCTGCTGCCAAAGAATCACTTTAACCAACCGTAGGCCTTCATCGCTCATTCGCGGTGATCGTACGTAGGTAGCTTTCTTACTCCGATCGGATGCTTGGTAAGCGCAGCCGCCTTGTGTCTCGGAGAAATCGACTCGTCTGAACGAGCCAAGGTATTCGAGTGAGTGAGTGACTGAGCGGGCGAGTGACGGTGGAGCGAGCAAGACAACCGAGCAGGCAAGCAATTTGTGTTTAGTTAAGATTAAAGATAATAATTCTCAAAAATGATCGAATACCCCGCAGGAATAATCTAATAGAGCCGGCTGGTGGTACTTCGCTTGGTCGGTCAGTCAAACGAACAGTCAGTCAGTCAGTCGGTCGGTCGGTCGGTCGGTCGGTCCGTCGTTCCGAACACTGGTCTTCTGCCCAGTTTCTGGTTTCTGTCGAGAGTTTCAAGCGACTCCGCAATGGCTCGAAGAGGCGCGACCGAGGAAGCGCTTTCCCTGAGCCGTCGTCGGTGTCGTCGTCGCTACCGCTCGTTTGACAGTCGATCGGCCAGGTCGCTGAGGTACAAACGTAGATCGACGTCGCTGCAACTGCCGAATTCCTGATTCGGCTGATCGATGCCGTACAGGGGTCGATACATTTTCGCACCTCTACGGCATTCTCCCATGGCGTTGCCAGCCTGCTTCCTTTCCTCTGCCTATTCGAAAGTTAGTCGCCTATTCATCGTCTGGCTCGACACATACACGCGTGCTCCCGAGCGCGCACGTCCGAGGGACGACGGAAATCAGCTTGCGCGGGGTCGAACATCACTGCCGACACTCGCAAATCACATCCTCCGTGTCCTCGTGCCGGTCGACGCGGGAAAGAGCGATCGGGACTGGAAGTTGGTGTGTTAATCTATCAAACGCTAAAATCGTTGAATAGTTTCATGTACGTCGGTAATCCGAGACATCTCCGGCAGATTCAGCCCGGAGAATAGACTCGACGATTGGCTCTGAGGGGTCGAGTTGGAGAGGTGACTGAATGCTCGACTCGTCGGTTAGCCACGCGTTGCGAGTCGAGAGTTGCACGAAGGCGCCCGAATCTGGCCTCGAACCATGTTTTCGTGATCCCATTGTCAGCTCGAGGCTTTAGGCGAATGCGCAAAGGATCGCGAATCCTCCCCGCGATCCTTTGCGGGAAGGATCCTTGGATAGTCGAGGGCCGCGGGCGTCTTTCGCAAATCGATGAACTTGCCGATTTTCGACTAATACTTACTATAGGCCTGCCATGCTGACCCGAGAGGAAGCTTCCTGGCTCCACCGACAAGCATTTCGTCACAAAATTTCAATAAGGAGCCCGCAGCTCGCGTTCTCATCGACGCAAAGAATTATCGCGGCAAACGGCATTTCATTTCCTGATCGCGAACAGGCTC